GCTCTGATGAAGGGCTAACACTCAAAACATCAACCTTTAAACTCTTTATGGTGGCCAATTTACGTTTTCAACTCAGTTGTTAACAGCAAATTACCCTATGATGCACACAATTTATTTATATGTGTAATGTGTGTACCATTGAAAAAAGCATATGGTTTAGTTCTAAGGCTGTTTTTACAACCAGTTTCAGAGAGATAAATGTCAAGTTCTGAAATGTCTTTAAAAGATGTCTAAAATTGTCAAGTGAACAAACTAAACACCAACTTACCCCCAAAAATCTTCGACCTTTTGGATAGTCAATAAAGGAACAAGTCAAGGGAAACAGTTTATAAGACAAATTAATAAGATATTCCTCTAATGAACACACAGGAAAATGATGGTTTGTTGAAAAATGTACAATGCACCTGCACAGTACACGTAAAAGCAGCTGGTTGGTTTAGTTACTTTTTGTTTTTGCACATTGTACTGTTTGTAATACACTGCACATAAGTGGTTACCACTTTACATGAAAACATTCAAGGATATTTTGTCCTTGGAACTTTCCCAAGAAGTGGGATAGTTCCAAATTCATTTTTTCTCTAAGTGTGCCATCTTGATGCAGTGCACCAGATGCAATGCACCAGATGAAGGGCACCAAACAAATCCTTAAAGGGCAGCCAGCCTTCAAAAGGCCTAAACAATATAGATAAGTTGATTTTTAAAGAACTCTCTGTTTGTCTTTGTGGAAGTTATCTTTTCATAAGTCTCTGAAAAAAATTGACACGCTCTCTCATGCGAAATGAATTTCAGTTTGAGACAATCATTTAAACCAGACACAAGTTTTCAAAATTGAAGAATAGAACTAAAATATTCCACTCCAAGATGAAGAAAACAAGATATCGTGGATAACAATGACCGAAATTTTCTAAATAATAATAAGAATGATGATAATAATAATAATAATAATAATAATAATAATAATAATAATAATAATAATAAGATGAAACCCATGAAAGAAGTGGAAAAAACAAAGCATTGCATGGCCAGTATCCCAGGATTCTAGAGAAGCCTCATGTAGACACAGTCACCACCAACAAATGGTTTTCAAGTAATCTGAAGGGAGACACAGAAGGACTACTTGTTGCAGCTCAAGACCAGGCAATAAACACCAGAAACTACCAGAAAGTTATTCTGTGGCCAGCAAGTGGAGAGCAAATGCAGAATGTGTTTGCAATATGAAGAGACAGTGGACCATACTATATTTGGATGTGAGGTATTACCTAAAACAGAGTACATCTCTAGGCACAATAATGCTGCTGCATATCTCCATTGAAGCATCTGTAAAGATCATGATGTCAAAATTACAAACAAATGGTACCAACATAAGCCAGAGACTGTTATGCACAATAAAGACAACAACATCACCATCATATGGAACATACTGGTCAATACTGACAGAACTATAACAGCGAAAAGACCAGACATCATAGTTAAAGATTCAGTGAATTTCACCTCCAAACTGCTTGATATGACTGTTGCATCATTCTCAAGGAAATGGAGAAGAAAAGCAAGAACAAAGACCTATAGAATTGAAATACAGAGAATGTGGCAATTATGAAAACCATAGTGACTCCTGTGGTTGTTGGTGTGCTTGGTACAGTAAAGAAGGGGATGGTGGAAAACAAAAAGAAAGTATCAGAAGCAGCTACTGTGAGAGATTTAAAAGATCTGCATGCTGGGATCTGTGCAAATCCTCAGAAATGTGCTTAGTGTACAAACAAAATGATTGACTTAAGTGACTAATGCCCTAGGTGCATGGTTTGCGCCTGGCTGATGCACAAAAAGAACACCAGCAAAGACTGTGATAGAAGAGATAACAATAATAATAATAATAATAATAATAATAATAATAATGAAACATAAATCATAATAATAACAAAACCTGTTTCACTTACAGAAAAAATAAGAGACAGCTGCATGCAGTAATGAATCATGTACCTATCATAACAGCAAAACAATGTCAGAAGATTTATGGCAAAGGATACAGTATCAAAAGAAGTTACAAGGCGAAGATTATCTTGCCAGGATTTTGTCTTATCATTTTTGAAAAACCATAAAGCCCATTTATTTTGCAATGGATGTTTTACATATGAAGGCACAGGAGCTGATGCTCCATCTTCTGTTGATTGTCCATCTTTGGCTTTCTCCTGCTTAAAAAAAAAATCCATTAGAGTATGCAAACTTGCTCACTCAATATTTCCATTAAGAATCTTTGAGTTTGGTTTGGGTACCCAAGCTGTAAGCTTTGCTTGATGCAACAAACTGTTGCATGCAGTAATGAATCATGTACCTATCATAACAGCAAAACAATGTCAGAAGATTTATGGCAAAAAAATTAGTCTAGATGGCTTTTCCTTCTTCCTTTCTAAGAAATATCATGCCTTTACGAAAAAGTGGACCAACTTATCTCTTAAGGGTAATCATCTTTGTACAGGCTCAGTACACAAAACTGCTACCTTTTGTTTACTGAGAATCAGTTACTGCTTAAAACCTACATCAAACTCCCACTTGCCTATCACTGATCAGGGGTGAACGAAATGTTAGAGAGGAAAAAATTCTGAGTGCTCCCTTAACTTAAATCAAGCTTGTTATTAGAAAACACATGAGGTCTTTTTTTTCATTATTGTTGAGTAAGCTTCAGTCAATAACAATATCTCTTTGACTGCTAAACATACACCACTTTCCCCTTCCTTTTTCTGTTTCAAGTTTGTTGGGCTAATTGAGATATTCCAGCCATTTAAGAAGTGACTGAGAATATCAACATGATAGAGGAAGGATTAGAAAAGACAATTTGATTTTGACTTAATAATGCCCTTGCCTGAAAGACTGCTTTTCAATCAGCTAGTTTTTTTCCTTTCATTTTTGAACAACCCACTTTTCGTTAACATTATCCTCTAAGCCATGCACCGTAAGAGTTTATTGACTTAATATACCTACACGTAGCCTGGCAGCAGATCACACAAGATAAGACACTTTATAACTAATGACCCAGACTCTTTCCTGTGCAAAACAGTTAGGTTGGACAGTAATTTCAAAAACATGAATCTTGTAATAACCAGACTCTCTCAAATGACAACGAAAAAAATTGAGACATAACGTACGGTTAATTATGTAACGCGAATTGTATATGGGTTTCAATAGTGTTTGATCCGATATATCACGATTAAAATTACTTTCTCCCGACAAAGGTAGCTGCAATTTCGTAAAGAAGATCTTTATCTGGTTGTTCAGACAATTAAAATAACACGAACTAAACGAATAATGACGCTCACAAATTAGGCTTATCAATAGATCTCGCTGACTTGGGTGAAACATATTTTAAAAGCACCTAGATAGTCGTCGCAAAATATCGAGAAAGCGGTCGAAATTTTATCTGAAGTTGGGAAATAAAATGAGACATCCCAAAAAACTTTTTAAGTTTTAATGCATTACATAGTCAACGTACTATTACTGTCGCAAATAAACGAAATATAGTTTCAAAAATTGACCTGTTTGCGTGAAATGGAGTCGTAGTTCAGTAACTTTTCTTGACGGATAAACCCTCAATTTCGCGGAATAAAACCCCTCTTAATTTACCCCAATAAATTTAGATGGAGTCTTCGACTTCTTACCTCTTCTTTGCTTTGTTCCTTTTGATTTTTAGCTGGTATCTCGTCACCAGAAGCCATACTAACTTTCTCAAAGTGGTTGAAATTTACTCCTGTATTTCCTTTACCGGCGTCACGTGGGAAAGTAAGTTGTACATGCGTACTTTTGTCCTTCGTATCCAGTCTTCCTAAACAAACCGCGGTGGCGCTGGGGCCGTAGTGACAGAACAGAGCGAGACTTCTCGCCTAAATCTCTGATTTGTCGAGGCAAAACTCTCTAATTTCCAGCTCTCCTCTAGCACTCTTCGAACACTGCGCAAACCTAGTTTCGATTCCGTGATATATTGTTTAAACCTCCCTATATTTGATGAACAGATGGTTAATTGAGTAAAAGATAGAAAAAATTAAATGAATGAATGAAAGAGAGAATGAATGAATGAACGAATTAAAGAGGGAATTAATTAATGAATTAATACAATTACACGAGTATTTGAGCAAACTAACCAAGTTTTAAAAATATTTCTATGACTTTATTATAAAACTCGCCGAAGAAGTTAGTCGGACAAAAAGCTGAAAGGATTTTGAAAATCAACCTCTTTTCACAACTACAAATTTCCGTTAAGGACGTCAGATACCTCCTGTAGATGTAAATCTGAGAAAAAGGACCAGAACAAAAATAATTTGTTTAAGTATCCAGGCCGATTGTAGGTATAAAATACGCCCTTACTTGGTTAGTTTATTTTGGTCGGCTTTATCGACGATTGAAGGTAAAATTCTTTCATTTCTTACGGTCAACCGTAAAACGAAGTCGTAGTTCAGTAACTTTTCTTGACGGATGAACCCTCAATTTCGCGGAATAAAACCCCTCTTAATTTACCCCCAATAAATTTAGATGGAGTCTTTGACTTCTCACCCCTTCTTCGCTTTGTTGTTTGGATATTCAGCCGTATATAAGAGAAGTAAGGGAGGTGGTTGAACGTTTGCTGTGAGAGAAACAAAGGAATGGAACAAACTAAGTGTGGACCTCAAACGGAGTACTAGTGTCAAAAACTTTAAGCGTTCCTTTTTTAAAATAATTTTAAATAATCAAATTCTTACGCAATTATTCATGTAAATTTTAAAATCTGTATATAACTACATTTTATAATCTTATTTTGCAATGTAAAAAGGCTTAAATACAATACAGAAGCTATACTAACTTTGCGATAAAAATATAAATTTTATGGTTGATTGTTAACCTCATTGAGACCCTCTTGGAACCAGAGATCTAGACACTGTCTTAGCTTTTCTCGCGAGAGCGCGTGCATGAAAATCGACCCTTTTGATGACGCATTTACTAGCAAAGCTTTCCTCGATAGGGAAAAAAATTGCACAATGGAAATCAAAATTCAAAGTGTACTTCCGCTTTTTCTTATCCCTTTGATTGCCTCTTCTACTAGCGTTTGCGATAAAAACCCCAGCCTTATACAGTGTATTGCTCTGAGAAACCAGTTCATTTTGCCACTCAAGGACAGTTGTAATCCATTGAAGAAAAACTGCGACACAGGAGACTTGGTCGATCCAAGAGTTGCCAACTGCCATTTAGAATTCAGTGGGAACGTGTTTCATTCTTTGCTGGACGGATTTAAAATGAGTTATGGGTACAGATGCTTTCCCATCGTTCCGGACCCTAATATGTTTCACAGGCGGAATGTCGGGCCAAGTTATGGGGAACCCCGCTGTGTTCCCACTAAACTTGATAAACATGGAAGCTTCACTTGCGGGGAACACGGAACACGATGTGTGTGCGATGCTCCTGCAGAATATAACTCATATGGGACACAATGGTTGAGGAACAACTGTAGGTGTGTAACTAAGAAGTAAGAGGAGGGGTTGAGATAGAATTAAAAGGGATGGGGTATAAGGGAATAATTTAAAGTAACTTTTATTGTTTGCTAAGGATGGAAATTTAATGGAGAACTCTTCTGAAACCGAGAGAATGTTTTTAATCACCGTTTGAAGTTCTTTTTTAAGTTTGTGTGGCATACTCTGCGTTCTCTGCTAAATGGGTAAAGTGATATAGCTTATTCGAGGCGGTCACTTCGTGGGAATGAGCAGAAAAGCAGGCGAATGACGAGTGGCGATCGAGTGACATAACACTGACTTCCCCTCTCTCAATGATTGCTCGCCAGTTTAGTATGCGCGGTGAGCAATACAGGAAATGTGAGTTAGTAGACCTCTGACTATCACATTACAGCTATTTGTTAATTAATATTTACTTAAATTCTTCTCTTTCCTAACTTCCAGGTGTCAGTATTTTGTGAATCTTTGCCGTATTCCTAAAGTCTGCGCGAGTCGTGGGATTTGCAAAATGTGGGGATCCGAACTGCGCTGTGAATGCCCTGCTGACAAAGAGCAATGCAGGCCCGGAATAAACCAGTGTAAAGCTAATCCGGGACTTTGCTTGGACGAGGGCAAGATTTGCATCGAACTCTATGATACAAACGTAGGCTGGCTGATTGGAAATGAACAGAAAGGCGATGGCTTTGCCTGCATTTTAGCGGGGACTGTAAAGTCTCTAGCGACCGTCACACATTACTGCGATATCTCCCAAGAAACATTCAGTAGAATCGGAGGAGTAGAGCCTAAGAATGAGTTAGACTTGTGCTGCTATCGAATGCTGACATGCGCGGGTGGAGAAAGCATTCCAAAGAAAGGAACCATTTTCAGCTACAGACCGTGTTACTGCAACGTAGAATTCCGAAAGTGCCTCTTCACGGCCGCCTTTGATCCCAAGTTTAAGGGAAACGTTGAGCAGATGGTTGAAGTATTAAACAACTTGGCGCATTGCATCATTGACGACGGCGTCCAGTGTGATCCTGTGCGTCCCTGGACTTGCCAGAAAGGTGACCTTATCAATCCTAAATTTGCACATTGTGCTATTGACTGTAGAACAGGCCCAGTGCTGCCAATCTGGGCTCGAGCCTGTGCCCTTCGACAATGCAAGCCACCTTACCATCGCGAAAATCTTAGGATTATAGACGTACCACGCATGGAGGAAAGCTCAATTTGTAAGCCTGTAGAGGACCTGCCAATATTGTGCGGAAATAGAGAAACGAACACCCGATGTGTTTGCGACGGTAAGCCGAGCAGATCAGATTTCACCGACAGATGCCGATGCCAGTATTGGCCAGACCGATGGGAAGAAAGACAGTCTAAAGAAAAGTAAAATTATTAGCGATATCTTGTTTAAGTTGCTCTAAATAAATTTATTAGAAATTTTAGTTTTGTCGGAAGATATTTCTGTAAACGTTTTTGAATGCCGTAATTGAGGGAGAAAGTGAGGTGCGCCATCAAGCGTGTGAAGATTTAACACGTGATATTCAAATGTGTGAAATACTTCATGAAAAAGGACTAAATAAAAGAAGAAAAAAAATTTATTAATTATTCCCAAAATATTTCGCATATAATAATGGTTCAAATTCCTCACGCAATCAAAAAAGGGACAGTTCGCTGTTCCTCACTAACCGTTTTTCCAGTAATATCTTTCCAGAGTTGTTCGGCTGCTTAAACTCGCACTTTGCTTGTCTATTCCAACTATTCTGACAAATATCTATACGATCAAAATTAACTTTTGACCTAAGTTATACCTAGGGTTAAGACTAAGTTCTTTTTACCAGGTTGAACAGCTGTTTTCTGGAACAAGAAATCTATATCCATTAATCGATAGAGATTTAACGAGATCTTGAAATATACATTATTCCAAATAGATTCTAAACACTAAGGATTTGCATGATTCTAGGAAACGGCCAAGTCCTAAGGATTGCATAAATCTTTAGCAAAAGCGAATTTCTTTTGACTTAACGTTATATAAAGGAATTAATTATTCACGGACTAGAAAATCATCTCATGCACTCTACACGTCTGATCGCTATCGTTATTAATGTGGTGGGAAATATACGCGTAATTTCGTACCTTAAAACCAAACCTTTTACGGCCTACATTTCTGTACAGTTACACAAGGGATCTGGGAACGAGCTTAGGATACGCCATAACGAGAGAGTTGACCGTACTCCTTACGTTGATTGCTCCATGAAGATCGAGATACTGCATGCTTAGATATGCAAAACTTTATCCCCTACAGATTACAGATCACTACATGATCAGATAGTCTCAAATTACATTTGTTTTCCCAAACAGACAACATATTTTCTTACACATTCGTATACGATCACCGAACCAGTAATTGAGGGCAGACGTCAGTCTCCACTTTTACAGCTGTCGCGAGTGATAAAACTCTGGTAAAAACAGGGACGCGGTAGCCATCATTTTCAGGCCCTTCTCCATGGTCGACATACCGATACCTCACTGCTAAATACAGGAAAACTGCCAAGTTTATTAACATAAGCCCAGCCAATAAAAACATGTAGTATTCAAGTGTGCCATTATTGAGGTCATTCGGATACCACTTGTTGTGAGAAGCGTGTTTGACGATTGACACCAGCAAACTCGCTACGTAGTAACCCAGGCCAATCATTGCCCAGCACACGCCCATTACCAAGCCACGCAACTCTGTTGGAGACTGGGCATAGGCAAATTCAAGACCTGCAAAATGTGACGTTCTATAAGTGTAAGGCTTTAGTGTAAGTCGTTCCCTGTAACATCTCCAAGTAGGAACTTAAAAAAAATTCATGGGAACTAGCTTTGTAGAAATTGGAATGGAATCTTAGGTCTAATCGACATAGTCGGTCCATCTTTTGTTCTTATGAATTGAAAATCTGATACGAATAAATTAAAGTAGTATCGTTTGTCTCGCGAACCAGTCACCTCTGACGTTGATCACGACGTTTCGAATGCTTATTTCCTGTATTTTTCGAGGAATGAGATAAAGCTGGATAGATGTAACAAACTTAAAACTTATTCAAAACCTAAACCAGCCAAGTTGGAGAAGTTCTGATAAAATGTCTTCAAATCAAGTTACTTTTTCAGGAGCCTCAACTAGTTTTCCGCTTACTTTGATATTTCAAATTGATTTTTTGTATATTGGTGTCACTTACACAAAACTGAAAACTCCAATTGCAATCCCCGGAAAATAATAAATGTAGTCCACCTCAATTATTTGTCATCTTTGCTTGCCTTGGTTCTACGTACTAATAGGCTCGATATAGTTGGTGATATTTTTTGTTTTCTCGTGATATCACAGAAGTTAACGCGGAGACCATACTCCAAAGGGTAATGTAACAAGTCGATCTCAAACCCTCGACGATGACTACCAGTATGCAGTAGAAAAGATGCAATCCACATCGAGATAGGAACGAATGTATTAAATTATTATTATTATGATTAATGATGTTTAGATGAAAAAAAAATCAAGCGCCACTCAATTAATTTTGCACACACCTGTAGTGGATACCAAAGCTTCACTTGTTCCTTGTAGGATATACTGTGGCACTTGATAAAACACACTCATATTTGATGCATTTACAGTTCTATTGAAAACAATTTGTGTCACCCTTCCAAATTTTTCTTTCCGCTCAATTTCGATAAATCCTGCCAAGGCCACAGAACCAGCAGCAAAAATCAATCCAACGCCGATTCTGCGTAGAGGAGTGAAATTGAAGCCAACGCGACGGAGGCCTGGGTAGACAACTCGATCAATAAGGGGGATCAAAACTAGAACAGTCACAATTTCAAATATGGCCAGTGACGCCACAGGAAATGGAAACGAATTAATGATATCCAACTTCATGTAAGAGCCTTGCAATAGAAACGCGGTAGAACCCTACGAGAAAATGGAAAATATAAATCTGAGCGAACAAAATCGGATTAAGCAGTTTCAGTATATTGATAGAAAAGAAGCCCCTTAAAAGTGCAAGAAATACTTATTTTACCTTTCGAGGAAGACATGACTTTAAATTTAGTTTGATCATAATTTCTCCAGGCTTCTTTAATTTTCAGCACCTGACGCAGTAACCAACTTAACGCGTATGTGATGCTGGGTCTAGGAAACGGTCGAAACCTGGTGGGCCATAATCCCTTACTTCTCCGGCCCCCCCCCCCCCCCTCCCTTCCCCTCAGCCAGGAGAAAAGGGAAAGATAGAATGTCACAATCTTGTTACCAAATCAATCGATCAATTGCTAATTTGACCACTATTAGCTCTATCCATAATTGAAGTCGCTGAGCATTAGGGTAGACTAAGTAGGGTTCCAATTCAAAAGGACAAGTCGAATACGGCTTTCATGACCGTTCTCACGTACCTGGCCGTATATTGTCCAGTAGAAGATAAATGTGAGTAATATTGGACACAAATGAACTATGGACTTGACAACTTCTACCATCTCTTCAGAGAAGGTACCACCCATGGTGTCCTTAGCACCGTCGAGCCAGTGAGTCCAGTGTGGATTTCTTTTGCAGAAGAGCTTGTTTTTGATACCAACTGCAAGAATATGTCGAGCATCCATTAGAGCGCTTTTTCGTGGGGGATACACTAGATAACGGTTTCTCCCTATCACCACTACCATAGTTCCACACGTTATTGAAACTACAGTAATTAAGTAACCAAAGAAATAGATCACGTTTTGTTGGACGTATACTACAACTGTGAAGGCCAGCAACGAGCCAACCTGTATGAACCAGTAAAACCAAACAAAAAATCTTTGCACCATCCTTTGCCCTTTCCTCTTCACTTGGTCTGCTCCCATCAGGGACAAATTTGCCTTGACTCCTCCTACTGCAAAGGCAATAACGACAAGGGACACAACCAAAAGTAACGTTCCATATAAGCCTTCAAAGACATGATGCCCTGAAGGTTTTTTGTATGTAATAACCGTAAGTGTAACGGTGCCGACAATGTAAGCCAACAAGCTTCCATATATGGTGTTGTATCGCCCAGCGGTTATGTCTCCTAGCCAACCGCCGATTATAGGAGTAAAGAAACATGTTCCTTTATAGAAAAAAAAAAAAGAAAAAAAAGAAAGCGTCATTCGTGTTACGTATGACGAAATAAGACTGGTTGAATTCAGTAAACATCTTGTAGAACAAAGTCAGAACCTCTTCCTGCAATCCTATGATTGCAGCTCACTTATGAGGGTTATTTATTTATTTGCATATCTTCTGCAGGCCAAAAACAAGATTTATTTCATTTGATTTTGATAGAACCGGTACGAATAGATGACGAACGCAATTAGACCAAATATATAATACTGGATAGAAAACTGGGTAGAAAAACTGGATAGAAAAACTGGATAGAAAAACTGGATAGAAAAACTGGATAGAAAAACTGGATAGAAAAACTGGATAGAAAAACTGGATAGAAAAACTGGATAGAAAAACTGGATAGAAAAAGTTAAAACTTATTCAGAAACCTAAACCAGCCAGGTTGGAGAGTTTCTAATAAATTTCCTTTAAATCCTGTTTTTTGTTTTGTTTTGTTTTGTTTTTTTTTTCACGAGTCTCGACTAGTTTTCTTATTACTTTGATATTTGGTGTCACTTCAATTACAATTCCCGGAAAACAATAAATGTATTCCATCTATTCCTATAACTAATAGTTGGAAATATTTTTCTCTTCTCATGATATTATTGGTTAACGTTGTCCGTATCTCTAGTGACATTAATAGCATTTATGGCCACTCTCTTGGTATCCTTAAAGAGTGGAATAGCTGAAGGCCATAGAATGTTCCATACCAAGCTCAGAACATAAACAGTGTTCATACCTTGAAATGCCAAGGCGATTATGCTGGATAATGGCGAGGAAAGCTTACGAACGTCCTCACAGTAGAGTACCAGATTTGCAGCCACCCCATAGAATGCCAGACGTTCAAATAAGGTAACGAATAAAATACAAAGAACTGTAAGAGTATTGTTGTTGGAGACTGGTTCCTCAGACAGTGATTCATCCAATTCTGACGGGTTTTCCTGGCTATAATCGTAGTTTGTCGAAATCCCGTCATCATCATCATCTCGGAGAGATTCCATCATCAGGCACTTCTCTAAGCAAATAATTTTACGTATGGACTTAGCTACTGATGTAGGAACACAGCTGACTGTTATGTTCTTTCTCACTGTCTTAAAGAATGAAAGTGGCTTAAGACACTTAGCAATCCCTATGTTTGGGAGTCCTGATACTTATGAGGTGTTAGTTGATGGCATTAAGTACTAGCGATCACTAGCATCAACGCAGTGCACTTATAAACACTTTTATGTAAAACCATTTGAAAATATTACGCTGAATCAGAATTCTCTCTTAATATTTCTTTAACTGTACATTGATAAAGTCAGGTCATGATTACAGCCAAGTAACTGTATAGAATCTGTGTCAACACACTCATAAGCCTTTTGGCACTCAGGTAAAAATAACGGGTCACACAAGGGCTCACACTAGGTATTCATATTGTTACATATTTATGCATGACCTTTTAGATATCACTGAATGAGTACCTCATGCGACAAGCGACAAACTGTAGAAATCTTAAGATAAAGATATTAAGAACCTAGTGATAAGTGTCAATAGGCTACGGAAGAAAGTAAATTTTTAGCCCGGTTATGAGATAAAAGAAATATTTATCTTGCCACAAGCGCGGATTCATTTCTGAGACATTTTTAAGTGTCTGTTTACCTACTCCTTTGACTATTGGCTTAATATAAAACGAAGAAGACTGTCACATAATCCTCTGAAAGATAAAGCTAGCTGTCGAAACTGAAACCTTGCAAAGGTGGCAAAGAAATGAGCCAGCATCACAACGAGACAGCTTACTTCAAATTTATTGATCGTAAGCTAACGAAACATCACTAGAAACCTGTTATTCCGTACTTTATAAACCAACGATGTGAGTAGAATTCACGTGGCATGTTTCTCTTTCGCTGGTAACAGTAAGGGCTCTTAAAGAGAATGAACTCTTATCCAGTCGAGGAAACTGGATTTATGCTACGTTTCTTGCAGTTTACGTTTCAGGAATTGCAAAGATTGAAAAACAGAAATGACTTTGGAGTTAAGAAACGACTGCAACAAGCAAATTTTATGCGACTCTCGGCAAAAAGCGGAAGTTAAGTTCTCACACAGCAAGACGTAAAACTACTACACAAGGAATGATTCTTACCTTTTAGGCCAAAAATTATCAGTATAAGACTGCGAAATTATCGTAAATTCACTTGGATGCCACGAAATTAAGTTCCTCGCTGATTGATATGGCAAAATAGGTAGACATTAACACGCAAGATCGCACAAGCACAAGATTAATCGTTCATCGCCACGGAACACAGACTGTGACGTGAAGACGTCACATGATCAAGTGCCGGCCGATTCGATGTAACGCCACTAAAGAGCGTGACACGGTTTTTTGTCGATGAAACCCAGTCGTCACAGTTAAACAATACTTAACTTATTTTTCTTAAAATATTCCCTGCTTTCAGTCGCACCATGTAAGATCTCAACAACTAACACAACACTCGCAAAATAAGACTTGATTAACGATTACAGACCGAATTGGATGACACGAAGTCTTAATACCAATGAATCATAAAAATTACAATTTCCGAGAAAAGAGGAAAGCCTCAATTAAGGAGTCTGTACACTGTATCTATGGTGATTAAAACTAAGGTTGCGATTGGTTGATTTAAACTACAACTGTCTATGTGATTGGCGTATTGAAGTGTTCGAAAACAAACTGTCCCATAACAACTTGGCCAGCGAATTAGTGAAAAATAGGATTTTTTTAAAAACCAATCACAATCGTGATTAACAGGATTAACAAGTGATTAACAATGTAAATAACTAAAAATATTAGGTGCATGGTCAGTGCAACTTCTTGTGATAAATGTATTTGAGGCGATAAAGAAGCTTGACTGTTCAACTAAATGAACCAAGACTTAAAATTAATGATATTTCTCGTTCATTAGCGGTTATCAAGATCGTTTTGGGAAATATTCGAAAAGCTTGAAGAGCTCTTTTTTCTCTCAACGCGCTCATCATCTTCAGGGTTGTCTTGATCACAGACCACATAGCGATACCTCACTGCTAAGAACAGGAACACAGTCAAGTTAACTAACATAAGCCCAGACAATAGGAACATGTAGTACTCGAGTGTGCCCTTATTGAGGTTATCCGGATACCACTCGCTACGTGAAACGTGTTTGACAATCGACGCCAGCAAGCTCGCTACAAAGTAACCCAGACCAATCATAGCCAAGCACACACCCATTACCACGCCACGCAACTCGGGTGGAGACTGGGAATAGGCAAATTCAAGACCTAGGTAGAAAGAGATATATAAGTTTGTGGTATATTCACCATAGGTTACAAATTTTCATCTCACGAGGCACTATCACCAAGCACAAACTTAAACGTAAATGTATCTTAGAATTATCACCTGCTCAGGGGACACCAAACCAGAGAAGGATGGAAGTTAATAAATATCTACCAGTTAAGCATAAAAAAAAAGTATTTGAAATTTTAGCTATACCTTCAACAGCTACCGAGTAAGTGGGATCACGAGCCTGACGACTAATCTAAATATGGACTTTAAAGGCATAGCTCTGCTTGCAACATCATGCATATGGAACCTCAACCTTGACTTAAGAAAGAGTTTTGGGCTAGAAACCTTTGTGATATATACTCGAAAGCCCCTCTGAGTAAAAATCCCTTCCTTTTTTTTGCGTCACGCATCGTTGCAATACCACGCGCTCATCAACTAAATTAACTGGAAGGGGAGTGGTAGGAGTATATATTTCCCGATAGTTTCGTCCTCGCAGCAGCAGCATTTTGCTATTTACCTGTTACAGACACCAAAGCTTCACTTGCTCCTTGGAGTATATACTGTGGCACTTGATAAAACACACTCATAGTTGATGCATTTATGGTTGTATTGAAAACATTTTGCTGGACCCTTCCATAATCTTTTTTTCGCTCAATTTCGATGATTCCTGCCAAGGCCACAGAACCAGCAGCAAAAATCAATCCAACGCCGATTCTGCGTAGAGGAGTGAAGTTGAAGCCAAAACGACGGAGGCCTGGGTAGACAACTCGATCAATAAATGGAATCAAAACTAACAAAGACGCATTTTCAAATATGGCCAGTGAAGCTGCGGGAAATGAGAACTTATCGTTGATTTTCAACTTCATGTAAGAGCCTTGCAATAGGTACGTGGTAAGGCCCTGAAAGAAAATGAAAAAATTCACACCAACTTAAAATGAGTGACTCTTTGAAACCTTGATAAAACAGAACATTTGAAGTGCTGAAATAAAGAAAAAGGGATGATGAAGAATAAGCAAAATACAAACGACCAACCAACCAACCAAAAGAACACAATAAAACAATAATTTCTATGAGTTTCGAAACGGCAGCGATGCTATCTGTGGGTTTTCCACGACCGATCATGAGCGAGCAAAGGAAAATTAGCATAAGTTGGCAAACGACAACAAACAAACAAAAAACAACAACAACCATTTTCACTCTTTGCGACATTTCTTAAGAGACGAAAAAATGCAATTTTCGGGTTTTCTTGAATCGAAGCCTGAAACGTTTAAGAACTAAATAAAAGTTTATTTTGAATGGCGCATCTTTCTGTCTACTGCGCTAAGTAAATGGGTAAAGTGTTTACTCGCTCGGGATTTTGTCACATTTTAAATGAGTCATTGACTAGTGACTGAGGTGAAACGAAGCTTACGGGTTAGATGGGTACTCTTATAGTCCTCGCGTTTCAAGTGAGGATGCCTCTTGAGGCCTCTTCAGTCACTTATGCAGGCTCTATATTAAAATTGTTGTTCATTTTCTAACCTGGCCGAATATTGTCCAGTAGAAGATAAATGTGAAGAATATTGGAAGCAGACGAACCACTGATTTGACAGCTTCCACCATTTCCTCTGAAAATTCTCCTCCCATAACATCCTTAGCTCCATCGAGCCAGTGAGTTTGAGTAAAATAACTCTTGCAGCGGAGTTTGTTTTTGATACCAACGCCAATAATTCGTAGGGAGTCGGTCAGGTAGCTTCCTTTTGGTGGATGAACTATGTAGTGGTTTCTTCCTAACAACAACAACAAGGTTGCTAAAATCATGGACAAGGCAGTTATTAAGTAGCCGTAGAAAAAAGACACTTCCTGTTGGACATACACAACGGCCGTGAAAGCGATCAGGGATCCAACCTGTATAAACCAGTAAAACCAGTCAAAAAATTTCTGGATCTTTTCTTTTCCTTCGTGTTTGACTTGGTCTGCTCCTAGCGGGGACACGTTAGCCTTGATTCCTCCAGTTGCTATGGCAATTAAGATAAGCGAGACAGTTAGGAATGCACCTTTACTTGGAATACTCAAAGCATAAGCCTTTGGGTAGTTATAAGAGGTGGCTGTAAGAAGGACGGTGCCGACTATGTAGAGTAAGGAGCTTCCATATATAGCGTTGTATCTCCCAGTTACGGTGTCAGCCAGCCAACCGCCAATGACAGGAGTGAAGAAGCATGTTCCTGGTGGGAAGAAAATAACCTCTGTATAAGTAAATAAGTATGTCATTCACCAAAATGGCCAGAGAAAAATAACGCTATGTCCTTTTTTGTCTGAAATTCTCTCTGCGTCTCTTAAACTTTTAACACCATTAAGAGCACGTAAGCCATGTCAGAAGAAAGTCGAGGATATGATACGTACCAAGGGTTTCCCAAGGCTTTCAAAGAAGCACAGGTTTTCCCCTGGGAACAAGGGAAAATTATGAGAAGCTCTGCAAACTACTTAGGAATTGTTTGAACCGTAAGGTCAATGACCCGCTGCCGTTCTGGAAATGGGCCCCACCCCATCCCACAAAGACTGGCAGTGATAGTGGCGAAAATCTAGCTTGAGTAGGCTTGAGAATTCGTCTAACAACACTATGAATGTTAAGAATTCTAACGAATGAGAATAGATGCATACTTAGAAAGCATGCCTATAATATAAAGCGCGCCTTTCAGGGAAAGCAGCTTTCCCTCTGAATTGCTTAGCAACTTCGAAAGAACGGGAACAGGGAGGGGAAGGTCGTCTTTCTTACGAAAGAACTTGCAAGATATGGCTTCAAGGCGTTCATCTCCCTGAATAAGACTTGTAACCATGAGAAATCATCAGGTCTCATTTTTTTTTTGCCTCAGGAGTTACAAGGTTTTGCTTTTAAGAGTAGCACAAAAAATAATATGCATGAGAAAATTTTACATAGTTTTCTACTACTGTTTTGTTTCATTACGCGCTCCAATTGGTAGAACAGTGTCACCATCTTCTTATACAGTAGAAGCAAAACTAAAACCTATGTTTACACGCTTTTCAGGGCGTGACAATCGTCCTTGTTTTGACTGGCTTTCTTTCTGTAATTAGGCTTTGTGTTGTTACTTTGGTTTTGGTTCATAGCACTCCATCGAAAAGTGCTCTTTTGTTTTTAGATTCTGAGGAGATATCTTACCTTGAAATGCTAACGCAATTGTGCTCGGGAACGGTGAAGAAAGCTTGAGAACATCTCTACAGTAAAACACTAGATTTGCTGTTAAACCGTAAAATGTTAGACGTTCACAAAGCTCCACAAACAAAATACATAGGACAGAAAGAGAGGTTTTCTGTGAAGACGAACTTTCTCTCTGTCTGCTGGCGGTCTTATCGTGCATTTGTGGCAGTTCATCGTTACTCAGGCGAGACGCCATTATCTATGTTACAGAACAAAAAGAAAAAAAAAAACAATTAAACAAACAGAGCTCTCTGTTTCTTCGAGAGGAGAGTGACCCAAAAGTATTTTTTTTATTGATAAAAAGTTTCATTTGGAAAAAAAATAATGATAGTTGCTGTGTCACTCCAGTGATCGAAAGTGATTCTGTTTCGTTTAAGTAATATTATTTCATTTTTCAGATACCATTTACATATCACATAGCCACCTATACACATTTATAAGTTGATCAGACATTGATCTCCATCTAAATTTCAAATGATGGTTAATTTAGCCAAATGGTTCAATGCTCAATTACGTTATCATCATTCTATTATCAAATCATTGGTAATCACAAGTTATAACCCCGTGAGAGTAATTAGCTTGTGTTACATTAAGAAAACTAGAAAGACCTAAATTAAGTGAGTACTTTGCATCCTATCATAATATTCGAGAATATGTGTTGAAAAGGTCTTATGATCTAAGCAGTTCGTAAAAGTAAATCAAATAGTTTGCAGGTGACATCGTGTGGAACCTGTGCTGGTCGTAATAACTCCATGATTAAGGTTCGCAACGCACTGCCGAAGCGTCTTTAAGCTTAAGTGATAAACATATCCCTGAAAAGGTAATGCTCTCTTGGGTTAAAAACGAGCTCTTTTGTGACACCAGATTCGGTCACAGTCTTCCTTCTGTCGCACGTTAAGCGCATCGAAACTCGATTTACACTTCAAGAACAGGAAAACTTGCTTAACTTCAAACCCGTGATTCTTAAAGTTACGAAAAGTTGTGTGGAAAGCAAAGTCACAAAGCAACTTTCGTGTGTATTAACTAATGTTTTCTTTCCTATTTTTATTGCAAAACGGCATGTCGCGACACACCAACCCGAACTACGCAATCATCTCAGTGCGGAACTGTATAGGTGGCCGTCACCGCCAAAAATACAGGCATAATAGATGGTTTGTAATGAACAGAAATGGTCAAATTGTCTTTTGGAGAACGGTTTAACTTATCGTAGGAGATTTATTTAAAATACAAATAGACAAGTCACCTTAGGTGAAATGAAATATTCAACCAAAAAATGGTTTATACAATTCAGAAACTGTGTAGCCACCCTTGTTGAACTGATTCAATAAAAACACGAGTGGTCAAGTATTAACTGAAATGGTTCAGTGCCGAAATGACAAACGGTTCAGTTACCTGTACTTTGGTTCAGTGACTTGACACAAACGGCTTAGAGTTATCGGTAAACGGTTGATCGTAAGCCGCAATGGTTTAGTATCACATTAAACAACTCACCATAAAGTGAAACGATTTAGCGTGACTCCAAATGGTTAAGCATGACGACAAATGGTTTAGCACAAACTGATATGGTTTAGTGTTACAGCAGTTAGTTTACATCGCAACCGCCAAAATTACTAAAGTGAAATGGACACGTCAAGCTTGAAATGGAACAGTCTATGTGGGGTCTTACGTCACAACCCTCCAGTTCTTAAAAGTTTTTAGGCGCCCTTTAGTTGTAGTTCCATCGTCTTAAAACTATGAATCGCTTTACGTCACGTTTCCTAGCTATGGTTATGACTGTCTAAACTGTAAATGTGCTGTCGCATAAAATGATGCATTTAATGTGTATTTTTGTCATTCATTTTGTTTTCAGGTTCTTATTTTATCTTTAGGACGTAAAATGGAGAATTCTTACCATGGTCACGCGTAACCATGGTAAGAATTCTCTATTTAAAGTACAGCAGTTTTCACCATAGACTACACATAACCATATAGTTTTTAATCATATAGTAAAAATATATTATTGCGAAATGTAAGCTTAAGCTTTCTTTCATTTTCACTTGCTGATTATTCAGCTACTGAACGTTCAGCAACGGTTCCATCCGAAATATCATTTACTTACTGATATGATAAGATGATGAGGGTATAAATTTATTAGCTAACAAGCTAAAATAAGCAAACATAAAAAAAATGATTATTGTCGGAAAAATGCTCGCTGAGTCTAGTAGACGAGGCTACAGAAATAATTTCTTCCTGTGTTGAACGTCGAGTGGACGGCGTAAACCAACTGCTGCAACACTAAACCATTTCGGTTTGTGGTAAACCATTTGTCGTCACGCTAACCATTTGTCGTCACGCTAAACCATTTATGGTCACGCTAAACCATTTTACTTTAAATCATTGCGGGTTACGATTAACCATATTCCGATGACCTAAGCCATTTAATCGTCTCAATTGATAAAAACATAAGATGTAGTAAGAGCTGATATGTCTTAATGATTCCCTTTATATTTGCCTTTTTGTTAACATTATGTTCATGTGACTATTAAATGTTCTACCAGAACGAAACAGAAACTTATTGTCTTTGTTATTCTATTTACCAAACGACATTATTCATAGGCGAGATTTGGAATCTGACCTGAGTCTGATTGATCTCTCGATTTTGATCAAATCTTCATTTATCATCACATGTCAGATCAATCTGAACAATGAATAGCGCTAAAGGCCAAAACTTTAACGATGTTACGGGAAACTAGTCAGCCGAAACACAGACAAAACCATGGAAGAAACGAAACAGAAGAACAGAATATTCTGTGGATGAATGAGTCATAGAAGTCAACATGAATGTTTCACAGGAAGTCAAGACCTGCAAGATCGGCCAAGGCTCTCTAGCAGAAGAGCGTTGCGTCAAATGTCATGCAGGTTTAAGCAAAATACACTGTATTGGAATTCATACCTGGAAGACGATATACCAAGGCTAAAGGGTTGTGATTTTAGAAACCGTCATCGATTACTTACAGCTTTGGCTATTCCGATTGAACCTGTGAGCCGATCATGTGACTTGTAGTGACGCAGTGTTGAGTTCCGTTTGAGCGATATTGGCATGTCAGGCGGAAATGTGTCTTACGCACGATGCGTGACCTCTCTTCAATTCTTATAAAGGAGGCAGCAAGTACTGTGCATCTCTTCCAAAAAAGCTTCATAATGATCGGTTCACCCTTGTATAATTTTTGTAAAACGGAAGTCGAATCTTCTTTTGCAAGTGAACAAAAAACTTTTGACGACCTTTTGTATTTTAGATAAAAACAAAAACATTCTTGTAAAAACCTTAACTTTGAAAACTATCTCCTTTGGTGAGATTTGCGAAGGGGAAGACAATGTATTCTTTAATCACCTGTTTATCAAAATTCTTTATTAATTTTATGAATGCAAAATGAAGTGATTGAACCCATAAAAATATGCGAAAACCTTTTAAAGTGCGTTCGCGATTAGTTTTTATGATGTTTTTTCATGAACCCAAGGTACCCAACGAGTACCTTGTACGTAGTTTGTTTTGTTTTATTTTACTCTATAATTCATGGTTTTTAAGATGTACTTTCAGCAGGAGACTAAACGCTGAGCATAAACAGTCGCGCGGACATAAACGATACAGAAATATGAATAAAGAAAAATACAGAAATATGAATAAAGACAAATTTTCAAAGAACCCCCTCCCTAAAAAAAGGACGTATATCATACAAAAATTTTTATTCTGAAAAGTACAATTTAGGGAAGAAACTGCAGCTATCAACAATTTCGATAAGCTATCGGAAAGCACCGGTGAAGTGACCAAAAACATAGGCTTGATCTTTCAAAACGCGCTCTCGGTAAACTTTGACCCTTATAGTTTGAGTGCTTAGCGGTTATATAAGGTATTACGTCTCTGTAAAAAAAAAAAAAAAAAGGATCTGGATTGATCATGTTTTTCGTGAATACGTAGTTTACAGTTTGTTCGAAAGTCTCCAATTTTCTTTCCCTTGTTTTTTCATAACGTTTACAGATTTTTATGAAGGTTTCAATTCTCTTTTGCTTGTTATGCGAAACGGCGCTTTTCCTTTACAATGTTTTGCGCGAGAAATTGATTCGACACAAGCCAGAAATATTTTCCTTGCGCATGCCTGACATTTGACCGCTGTGTGGATGAAAGCCGCGGTATAAAAAGCAAAGTTCAGCTTGATCTAACTGGAGTTTTGTTAATCCAATTTGAGCGTCTTTTTTTCGCCGTCAAAACACACCTATATACATGTAGTTCTCTAGCTATGAGAGACAAAAACCAATAACTCAGCAGTCAACAACTGAAAAATACTTTTAGCGACTGGAATCGCTTCCTGTTTTGAGGAAATCTAAAAATAAACGAAATCAGGGCCATGGCATCTGTTTTCCTTTAGAGGATATTATTTTCTTCAGACGATATCAATCGCTTTCGGAAAATATTTGGTTTTATTTTCTAAACTGACACTTGATCAACTATAGTCCTAAGCTATTGTAAATAACCCAGTACCTGTTACGTCGAGCAGGTTCTTTTACCATCTTGTGTTTTTATCAAGCTTCCCTGTGTTTTTCTCTTGAAATCCTATTCTCTGTTTATGACATGTTGGTATCCTTTGTTAAAATAATGGGTGGCTCATTACAGGGGATTGATACGGATCCGAGGGCTGCTCACGGAAACAAAATCCTCTCCCACAGAGTCACATGGCAACCGACTGATTATTTTTAGAGCTAAGATCGTAATCAATTCAATGACAATATGAGATCACGTTTTACTTTTAGACGGAGAAAAGGAATTTTGGAACAGTAGTATGTAATCAGGAACTTTCAGACGGCGTTGTTGGACTTTAGACATCGGGCGCGAAAATTTTGCATACGACTTAAAATTTCGACCAGGAGGCGGAACCCTCAATTCGTTATATTTTTACACACTATTGGCCTTGTAGGTTACCTCAAGCCCAAAAAGCTGTCAAAATCGTGCATACAAAAAGAGCTTTGCTAGCTAATTAACCTGCCATATTCAAGCCTGAAGAGAGGAGATATTTTCGTTTCAACGTAGGAATAAGCAAAGATTGCTTACAATCTATTTACGCCTCTAAAAACATCGTTGAGAGACTCTGCTATCGAGAGATTTCTTAGTAATTTATTCATTTTTTGTTATCTTTTTACAGTTCTTTTTTTTTTTGTACTGATTTCTCGCAAATGAATATTTCTGGGTCCTTGACAGGGTTGATAAGACCCCTGACTAGGCGATAGCTTGTGTTTGAAGGTTTGACGCACGTCAAAACGTTTTACTATTTCATCAGTCGCTGTGTGAGGGAATCGCCAAATGATACCTTGGAATAAAATCTTATCTCATTTATTCCCTGAAATGATCACGGACAACACATTGTGGAAACATAATTACAGTTTGTCGCGCCTGAAAGTCCATGGAGCCTTCTTTAACTTTTGTAAATTAGTTTTGGGTCAAAATGTCGTCTTCTGATCTAATTGAAAATTGTCTGAATTCGTCTGACTACAGGACGTTGCATAACTTTAACTTTGGATCTTCGTTCTATATGTTTTTTTCATCATATTTTTCAACTATATGTACCAATACCTCCGTCATGTGTTTCGCTAATGACATTTCCTTTTGTGCATTTTGGTCTTACACAATCTCAGTGCCGAAAAACTTTTAATGATCTCCCGTGTAACAATTCGTCGTGTTTACAAACAACACTTCCTTTACATTACTCATCACATCAGCCCTATATCAATGTTTTTATTTGGAGATCTGCAAAGCGAATCCAGGCAATTTCATTTCACATGCAATTTTCCTAAACCGTTTTAAGTCGAGATTTACCCTAACGAAACCTTTATTGCTTCAAAGAGGATTCCGTTGCTGTTTTGGTTTATCGCAGAGATTTAAAAATTGTTAAGCACAATCAAGAATTTTCATCTCTTTTAGAAATTCCAAAGCTTTTCTACGAGTCGAAAATAAATCCAAATTTAAATTTCCCTTCGTAGTGAACTGTTCACGAGTGGGAGAGAGAGAGAGTCATTTGGCGTTCGTGTCTCATTAATTTAGCGCGTTAATTTGTAGCGTTAATTTTCACAGCGGTTGGGGGAGTTTCAGAATTTACAAAAACTACTATAGCAGTACGGGGGTCCCAAAAAGTTTTCAGCCATAGCGCCATTTCGTAAAACACCTGCTCTCTAATCTAGATAGTTCTGTCTAAATTCATTGATGCCTTTCGATTTTGTTCCGAGAATAACTTGCGGTTTTTGATTACTACTTTCATAAAATCTGTAGATTATTCATTGTTTAGAGGAAGTCATCACATCTCGATGAATCTTTTCGCACAACAAGTCGTTACCTTGCATCTTGGTACTTTTTCAAACAACGAGACCAAATTGTTTGCAATTTGAGTCAAAGTCGACCATGAGTCAATTTACACCTTTTTGATAATAATGATTCGTGGCCTGTGGGGCGTTAACGCTTGTCTTCAAGTGAGCATTCATAATAAATTCGTGGATTGAAATGAAACCGCTTTATCAAATGTAATATTCACCAATTTTTTTTTTGAGAAGGTAGAAGGCCCTAATGTACTCAGAAAATTGATTGCGATGTCAATAGCTCAACAGGGTACGAAGAAAAGTAGCATATCGTCGGCTCTTGTGCGTTTCAAATGTGTAAAACGATTTAATTTTTAAGCTAAGAATAGCAAATCAGTTTGAACTGATATTTATCAATTCAAAGGGACCGGAAGATGAACAATACACGCAGAAACGCCTCGTAAAGTTGGAACGATTTTCGTTAATCTTTACCAGGTTCTAATGAACTTCGGAAAAGAATCAGTACTCGGCGTTAATTTACGAAAGTGGCTTTAAGTCTTGTCCAGTATTGTTTGCTTTCTCAAAACAACGCATGAAGTTCCTTAATAATTAATTACTCACCGAAGTCAGCCAGCATAAAATGCTCATTTATGAAAAGGCGGAGGAGATAGGTTCATTAGCAAACCAAAACATTGTGGTTACCAGCTGAGCTCTGTAGTATTAATTTCATCGCAGCTGCGACCTTGCCGTACAAAAAAACTTGAGCTTTTTTTATTATTATTTTCATTCGTTCGCCAATGAGCAAATTGCTTGCAATTTCGAGAAAATTTTCAGATTATTGCTAGAACTACATTTTCACCCGCGTAGACCCAGGAGAAAAGGCAATTAGGAGTAAAAAGTGGCTTTGTCATCCTACAATAACCGGTTTTTCATGTTTTGTTACGGGGCTAACCTCGCATATTCTCATTTGACAGGTGGCTTGGATCCGGGGGGAGAGTTGAGAGATAACACAGAATAAATCTCCGAATTCCTTTAATGTTCGTAAGAGGACAGTTGCGCAGGTTTGTCTGTCCTTGAACAGTGGATAACTTTATCATGTAGCATTTTGTCGTTTGCGGAAACCAAAAAAGAAAAATAAAAAAAGGAAAAATTAAGTCATATACCTTCTGACTGTGCTTAACAACCTGTTGTTAACCAATCAAGTGCGCCTTTGTAAACAATAACAATAACCTGAAACATATTGGTGACACGCGCCGATTGGATACGAAAGAATAAAAAAACTGATTATATTAACACATTACCAACGTTTGAGGATTTATAAACCTGTGCAAGCACGAGTGGCAACATTTCCGAGATTCTCATTTCAAGGAAACGGCAGATTCCTTTTGGCGTTCATATTCAGCTGCTTCTCCTATCTGCTGATCGAAAAGTTCATAAAAAATCCGTTGGTATAAATTTGGAATCAAGGGAAGATGCCTAAGTCATTCCTGTTGCGGCGTCATCTGAAGCAGGAATGGAACAACAGAGAGGATTATTCCATTGCTGGTAAGTAACTTAAATATTGACTATCCCCCCTCATCCATACTGTTCTGTAATTTATTTTGATTACTATGGGAAATTTCCGGATAAAATAGGTGAATTCTTATTTCCAGTAGACTTCGGCCAATTTGAGTTGACGAAGGCTCATTTCTGACTTGTGGATTGTGCATATTTTAGGATCTTTGCCACTTGGTCTTTGGCATCGATTGGCTCCAAGAGCAGGCTTTCTGGGCTCATCTCTCCAAGAACAGAGTCCGTCCTCAGAAGAAGCTACGGACGTGAATGGAAATCACACGGAGAAGCATACGAACAATGAGAATTACTTTGAAGAGTGCGATTATACCAGCGAATTGGCGCCAAGTCAAAATCAAAAAGAGAGCAAGGCGAAGATGAGCAAACAAAAAGAAATATCAAGAACAGAGAAGGAGGAATTTATCTGTGCAGCAACGAAAGATAAAACGAGATCGGGAAAAGGTTCCAAACGGTCTCAACACCGAGGGCTTGAAGAGCCAAGGAGTCTACGAGAAGGTTCTAAAAGATTGTCTTCTTCGTATCAAACGGGTCCTGTCAAGCAACCCTATAAGTGCGATCAGTGCGGTAAAATTTTTAAGACGAAGTATACATTGACGATCCACCTAAAGATGCCATCCCACACTGGCGCCAAGCCGTTTGTGTGCGCCATATGCGGCAAGGGATTTCGATTGTCAAGCACACTTTGCCGTCACAAAATCATTCACACATCTGAGAAGCCCCACAAATGCCACATCTGCGACAAAGCCTTCAATCGGTCATCCACGCTCAAGACTCATATTCGCACTCACAGTGATCTGAAAGAATTCGTGTGTGATATCTGTGGCAAAGGTTTCCATCAAAAAGGCAATCTGCGCAACCATGTTCTTATACACACAGGAGAGAAGCCGTATCGCTGCAATCTCTGCGAAAAAGCCTTTAATAAGCTATCCAATTTGAAGTTCCACATGCACGTTCATACGGATAACGCCCCTTACCGCTGCCGATATTGCAAAATCTGTTTTACACGGCGATGTGATCTCAAACTTCACATCTCAGAGTGCAACCCGCAGCGCTGAAGAAGGAAAAAAAGCAAAAAAATTCCAAATCATTGGCATTAGGTGACAGTTAATCGCCATTAACACGTAAAGCAAATGGATGGTTCGCTGATCAAATATTTATGGCGACGACGCTAGAAATTTAGATGAACTTGCCTTCTTAAAACAGAAGAGTACCAAAAAAACAAAGAAATGGTCCAAGATCTGCCAAAACTGTTATCGCAGATACGAGCCAGTATTTTATGACCTGTGGAATAGCTTGTCAGACAAGAAATAGACATAGAAATTAAATTTCTAAGCAATTTTAATGAGTTTGATTTTAGTTACCACAACGGGCAAGCTAAATGCCACATTACTGAAATAGCATTTTTCTTAATTTCCTTCAAGCCAATTCATCGCTACAAGATATCAATGGGAAACGTAGTAGCAAATACTAGGATGTAGAGCTCAGGATGGCATAAGCGCTAGTCTTTGTATTCGAAAATTAATTTTTTTCAACGACACGGTATATTTTACACTGAGTGACTAGTAAGGGCATAGACTTAAGAGACAGAAAAAGCCTTGGTCGACACTAGTTAGTTTTGAGGTAATCGTTAAAGAAAAAGGTCACATATTCCTGGAAAGTGGTAGTTATGACACACTTTTTATTCTTTGCGATTTTGTGTCCCTGTATTTCAGATATTTGACTTCTATTTCACACGCAATTGAAAAGAACATGTGAATATCCTTCAAATGCCTTCTTGAGGTAGCAAGTAGACTTATAACTTATTAACAAGTGTCAGTCTTACTCATTAACATAACTAGGCGACCGCAAAGACAGATTTATGCGGCGCTTAAGAAAAGAAAAAAAATTTCAAAGAAAACTGCTTGCAATCTGAATTTCAAAATAATATCAGTGAGAAAATCGTCTTAAATTACCCTCATCTTTAGCCCTTTTTTCCAGACTTATATTACTACGAAATGGGAACCACGATGACTCCGACATTGAACTTTTGTTTTCGTAAACGATCTTCACCTGATGCCAAACAAAACTACAAGAAAATAAATCAGTTCTTGAACACTGAGTACAGAAATCAAAATAAATCACTCTGATGTTTTATGGAGAAATGGTTAGCTCTTCAACAGACACTAAAGAAAAGAGGGATAAGATTTGTCCAAGTTTTATCGACCTAGTGGCCCTTTTCTGAATACTATTTTTTATTTCGTGCATTATCCCTTGGCAGATCATTTACACCTTATCCATGACTTAACAAAAACACCTGAATCCAATTTAACATGGATTTTGGCTCAACGTAGAATGTAACGAATATACTTTCCGCGAAGCCAAATAAAAAAAAAGGTATTATAGCAGATAATTCAACATGATGCTGAGATCGATTTCTGGTAAATCTTTATAACATAGCAATGTGTTTTCCTTAATTTCTATTTCCCCATGCACGAGCTCTTCAAAACAGTGCAGGTTGTTTGTACAGTATTGTTAAGGCAATCACAAAGGATTTGATTATTAACAATAACACTACACCAAGAGACTTCAGATTGAGCTGTAAGTGGTGAACTCATTTGTTGTAATTAACACGCGTGCTTGTTCAAAAGAAATACTAATTGATGGACGAGCCAGGTGGAACCGGCGCGGGCCGCTTGCTGATTCTTTCAACCTTGCGAGACAAAGCAAGAAGACAACAAGCAGACCGCGAGTAATCAAGTGCTTAAAAATATCAAAACTGAAACTTTCAAAAAGGATGATAAAAATGTATCATGAGGATTTTTTTTTTACCTGAACTACTGTGCTTCAACTTCTAAAGGAAAAATTTCAAGGGAAAAAAGGTGCCTTAAAAGACGCGTTCGCGTTTTTTTACGTTTTTCTTGTTTTTTTTTCTTGTTTTTGTTTTTTTTTCGTTTCAAATAAATCATCCATTGCGGAATAAGAAGTGTTGCTATAGATGAGAAAATTACTGAAACAAACTCTGTCTTCGAGTATTTCTTACTGAAGCTGCATGTAAAAATTTGAATGATCCAGTCATTCGAACAGGAAGCAAATTAGAAAAAAGTTGCATCTCATTTAAAATTGCATGCGGTCTTTCTTCAGCTTGATTCCTCTTATCAAAAGAAACATGTCGTCGTGTTTTTAGTTTGCGCCCCAGAGAGCGGTGAGAGGCGTTTTGGTATAATAAAGTAAGGAAGAAAAAAGTTATTTTAAAGGTGAACGAGTTCATATTAGCAATGAATATGAGATGAAGCTTCAAGTAGTCAACAGCTTGATAGGAAAAATCGCTTGACAGTAGACACTCTCAGAAAAAAAAAAAAAAAAAGAAAGAAAAACGAAAGGTTCGGTATGGGTAATACACAATTTACGAAAGGCGTTGAGTTTTCTGGTAAGGATAAAGATATTCCTTGTTATCTATAAGTAAAAGGCGATTGACACAGTAAACAAGTCTCCCCTAGAACGAGAACGGTTTGACATAGGAAAAAAAAAACAAACGTTTTAGTTTTCTTTCATCCGGTTCACCTTGATCCTAACAAGAATTTGACTTTTTAAAGAATTTGTGTCTTAAGAAAGCAATGCGTAGAAAGTAGCTAGGCTTATGCTTCACTTTCTGCAAACAAGACGGTCTTAAGTGGAATAATAAACATGCCTCAAAGCACGAGATAATTGACTTTATCTGCCTCGTTCAAGTGTCTTCAAAATTGATTAAGATTATTTAAAATTAAGAGAAATTGCAAAAAAATGGCCTCGGTGCCGTGGAGGTTTAATCTTGATTGGAAAAACTGAAAGCCGTGATTAAAAAGTGACAGATTGTAAATATCGAACCTTGTAACGTCAACTTTAAAATAACAAATAAAAAACTCCATGTTTGTCAAATAAAGCGGATACCCAAATTTATGATCACTGGATCCGTCAGTTTTCTTAGTTTGCACATGTGGATTTTATATTACAGGTGGAGGAAATAGTTACAAAATACTGCGTCTTTCCTCGTGATTATTTTTCCCAAAACGGATGTCAAACAGTAGGCACAAAGATTCTTTTTTTTGTGGAATATAAATAGCTTTCGGAGACGAACGATTTAAGCAAAGCGAACAAAAGGTTCAGCGATTACTATTTTGGATGCAATCTGAATTATAATCATTACTTCTCGAGAAATAATAATTATAAATGATTCGTGTTAAATTCAGTGCCAATCAAATTTGATGAAACAATATCTTTTACGCAAAAAAATTATAAATTAGACCATAAAGAAAAATGAGTAGCTTTATCATTTTTATTGTAATTACAAAATAGAGATGATGATGAAAATTATTGTGATAATGATAATAAATAGTTATCCGCTATTGCGAAAAAAAGAAACCAAAGCAGGGCTGTTGATCTAGCCGCATCTGATACGATAAAAAACATTGCTTATCCCGGAATGTTCTCTGACATGAAATGTGCGTTATATATAGGCCGACGGTGTGCTCTTATGCTGGTTAACATGTTCTGTTGCATCGTAGTTTTGTTGCAAACCTCTTTTAGCCTGAAGTTCATCCCTGTTTCCTATTTTGGGTTTGCCCTCTACCCCTTCCTTTTTAGGCAGCAGTGTCTGCAGCTGTTGAAGAGCAATACTCCAGTTGGTATCGGCTTTAGAATTATACTTGTAGCGACTGAGAGATTTTCCTCGTTTGTTTTTCCAAGACTTTACCACTCTGTCCCGAAAGCCTTGTAGGAGGCTGAAAGTCTTTAAAAAAAGGAAAGTAATATTAATTCAACTTCAAATTCTACTATGATCTTGCATTTTTTTAACATTAACCCACAACACCATAGTAGTAAACACTTGAAAAGATAACAGTCTCCCAATTTTTTTGTCTGGCTGTTTTGGGTAGACAAAGTGTTATTGTTGCCTTTCTCCATTCTTATCTGTCATTTCCGTAAACGGTTAATATCCCAAACATGAATTAATTGTTCTTGAGATTCTCCAGCATAGATGTGCTTTTTTTCTCTTAAAAAATAAAGAGGATATCGGAAATAAAAAGGATACCGGAAAAAAACAAGGATACCGGAAGTGGAAAAGGAGCCTAGCCTGGAGAGTGTCTTGTCCTTATCACTTTACTACGAAGTATTCAATGTTTTGAGAAACAACTCTTTTAATTTATAAAGGGGTAAGTTTCTAAAGAAACTGTGGTTGAGTCCAGGTAATTTATTAACAATGCTAGCTGACGTTTCGAGCGTTAGCCCTTCGTCATCGCTCTGACGCTGGATCATACCCTAAATTATCTTTTAATTTATCCTTGCCAATTAATGCAACTTAGACTTCCTCGTGGATCATACCCAGAAGTCTTCATGTTTGGTCTTGTTTACCATGTGATTGTATGAGATATGATTTATATTCAGTTCAAGGCTAACTTCGACTGTCTGCATCGAGCGTTTTGGAAAGGATAGCAAACCTCGCCCAAAATATGAACAGCAACAACAAAAACAACAAACATTTAACGACAAAAAACTAAACACATAATCCAAAAGCATTACCTATATCAGCTCCGGAAGGCTTATTCATTTCTTATGTAACCCACCTGGCCTTGTTTGTGATCTTTGTACGCCGCCCATGTCAATTCAATCAGAAGTATAATCAAGCTGAAAGCCAGGCCAAAGAAGACAGCATAAAATGCACCAGCCATGTCTTTAAATACCAAAACGTCTCCCGTGAAGGACGTGTCTGAAAATATAAACATGACCTTCACTTGCGGCAATGACATCGTAACCTGAACTCTAAATTGAATACTCTGATTGCACGAACTCCAAAGTTCATACATTTGCATACCTGAAGATTCTTGCAAAGTCGTCTCACACATTCCTTGGAACCACCTTTCCCTCAAAAGTTTGAGAAATCCTTTTTGCCTCAATTCCAGGATTTTTACACTGAACTGATGTGTGAAAGGGGAGTTCTTGGGAAGCCCAAAGCCATAGCCGAACTTGCCGAATACTCTGCAGGGAACAGATATAAGAGGCCGGTCTTTATTCTTTATTCATCGCCTGGGGACTGGGGAAAGGGGACGGGCAGGGGGAATACAATTTACCTTATCACCCCATGAGGCTCAGTAGTACCTTTATAATATGTCAACGACGACGACGAGTTATCCTCCCCTCCCCTTCCCCAGCGATTTCAATGATTGATCCCTAGGGGTGAGGGTCAGCCATGCGCCAGAAATTTGTTACATTTTCCATAGCTTCCACCTTTTTTTTTTCTGTATGGCCAGCAAAAAAGAAAATATTCGATATAGAATAGAGACTTGATTTTGATTGTACACAAATTCATCAAGTTGCAAAACGTAACTTACATAACTTACACCATACCTTCCAATTGTGGTCAACGTGTTGCAGGGCCTTTGTTCTGTGTAATAATCCAATACAGCTGACTCACTTATGAAAGCATATCCACCCTTTCTCGCTCTTTTGATACCCTCGGTCACGTTTTCCACAAAAGTGTCGTGACGTTTCATAAATGCCCACATCTTTGCATAGGTTGGAACGCGTGACATTTGAAAGAATGCCATGGTGTGGCTGTCTTTAGCGCAGCCATACTTGATTTTCGTTTGGGCAGCTAAGTCTTCAAGGCTCTTGATTGGTGTCTCAAAGACATCCGTGACTAGAAAACTGGCCAGATTGGCAGTGTAAGACGCACCTGTGAAAACAAAAATACATGTTTTTCTTCTCTTGTAAAGCAAGGATGGAAAGTCAGAAGTCACAGCGACCTTTGGTGATAAAAATTACATGGAAACGTTGACGAACAAACGCTTTTGATGATTTCACCCAAAGAGAATTCTGAGACCCACGGAACACCAAAGGTAAATGCAACTTTGGATGAGCTCAATAAACTAAATGTTGGACAAAAAATGTCAAATTGTTCCTTTTTTTAAAAATAATGTCTAGCACTTAAGTTTATTTCTCAGGCAAAATATATAAGCAGTTCGCTGCGTTATCCCCTTGAGTCGAGCTTCTGGATGTAAGAGTTCTGTACTCTCACAGCACCCCTTTCTATCTAAAATAGAAAAATTTCATCAATTGAGCTGTCCGAGGATGCATTGGGGAAGGGGCATGGGCGCTTGTTACACTTCGCCAGTATCCGTCTACGAAGAGAAGCAGACCTCCCACTGTAATAAGGTAGCAGAACAAGGAAGATGGCAAATGTTCTGATAAGTATTGTCATATATTCGAGCGAGACTCGTAATTGAATTTCAATTTTCTTCTAGCAATGGATGGTATTTCTTACTTATTATCAACATGGCAAACCACCAAAAGGCGATGATAACCCTCCCAGATGTGGACTGTGGATGTGCTACGTCGGCTCCTTGGCCAACTGTGTAAGAAAACGATGACCACGCGGACTCGAACAGCCGAAGACAGTCCTTTGTGCTCCAGTGATCGTCCCTTACGCTGTTTTGGTCTCGTGACTGGGCAATCCTCCCGTGATAACCACGTGGACTGAACGTGGCGTGAAGCCACAAGAAGAAACCAACTAAAATTGTGCCTGCGACAATGGCCAACCAGAGGGATGTGTTAAAAGGTTTCAGAAAAGAGAACATCTTGTAGTCCACGTTGACTTTGTTTTCGATGAGAATTGACAAGCCAAGATGCATGAATGGTTGAGTGAAATCCACGGCTATTTGCCGTTGTGAGCTGACAGATAGAGGGCCAATCGCCAGATCTGCTTTCTGATAAGAGCAAAATCAGCATTATTTTAAATACACTATGGTCAACGGACGTCAAACTTACACTAAGACATGATCATCAACAATTATACTAATAATGATATTCTAATAACTTCTTAGTGATAAGAGAGGTGATCGTTAAGGACTAGCTTTGACTATCTTTGACTAGCTTTGACGAGAAACCTGAGATCACGATTAGAGGAGGGAGGGGAAAGCTTCTCCCATCTGAGGCGTCCCAAAGCAGCAATAAAGAGAAAACTGCTTACTCTCTCAATTAAATGTTCGATTATCCCATTCCACTTCTGGCTGAAAACATCCCATGAACCATACTGGTTACTAGGTAAAACCTCTATTCTGTACCGAAACTTCATGTCTTGCTGAAGTCTGTCGAGTAGCTCGATACAAAATCCTGTATAAATTATCTCTCCCGTCTTAGCAACTTTCTCCTCCACGAAAGGTGGTTGCTGAAAATAAATAAATAAATGGAAAATCAAATGCAAAGGTGTACCGGGAAGCTACTTCATTTACGATTTGCTTTCCAAAGCATCACGATGCCGCCCATTAAGGATTATCATCCAAATTGCTTCCCTTGTACTTCGTAAATAGACAAAAAGCTACCCATATATGTTGCAAAAACTTTCTTTGGGGCATGATTGACAGAACGGCAAAACAACTGTCCTGACAGCGGCTGCGACTTCTTATTCTAATTTTTGCCCTACTTCCATAATTTCAGCCCTAAAAGTCAAAATTACAGGACGCTTGTACTAAAATTTGCAACTTACTATCACAGCAACAACTCGAATGCTGATGTTTTCTACGGTGTCTGCCCGATCACTCGGGGCCTCTAGTGATTGAGATAGCCAAAGTACAGGTTTTTCTGGAAACATGACAACTCCTTGCGATGGCGTCCATTTGCCGACCTAGAATAAAAAATCCAATTTATCCAAAATTTGTTTAAGGTCTCCACCTCCATCTAACCCCTCGCTGCCAAAATATATTTGGTAATATATAAATAGTTACACTGACTAATGGCATACCTTCACGAAACCAGTTCTTCCCAAATTTACAATGTCAAATTCCTGAAAAGTTGGAGAACCGTCCCCGATAAATTCCAAGTCATTCATAATGCCACTGGCACGGACCTGTAAGCAATGTTTTGTGATTTATTAGCAAAACGTTTCGTTAGAGTTATTCTTGTTTTTGAATGGAAATGTCTATTGGAAAAGTCTATCGTAAAACTTGATCTCAATAAAATTACTCGTTTAAGGAAATCTCGCTTTCGCAATGATATAGCAATTATAATAATGTTTCTTACATAGATATAATCAATCTATAAATAAAAAAGGGGGTATCTTTCTAGAGAAAGGGCGTTGCTATGTCGGTGGAAGGGTTTCGAGATAATTTGGTAAATCGAATGAGTTGATAAAGTAAATTGGCCACTGTAAGGAGTTTTTAAAGTTGACATTGCGAGTGTTCGCTCTTCAATATCTAGCCTTGAGAGCGAAAAAAGCTGTGCGTCATTTTCTAAAAATTGATCACCAAACCTCGAGCACACAACATTTCGCCCGTTGCCTGCAAATTTCTTGATTTTTTTTAATCGTGTACTCTTTTTTCTAGGTAATTTTGGAAAGGTGTCTCTTCAAGCCTCATTAAAATGAATCCCGAGGTGAAACTGGTTATTCTGGAGTACATTTGCTCAAGGGCTGTTAAGTTATCTTAATCAGGGCTGGCCGCGTCTAGAAAACAGATAGTTGCGAATATCCGTGGCAACCCCTCATCTTAATAGTGCTCTCCAGCAGCCTTCCCTTTGATTAGTAATCTTATCATGTTCCTTTTCAGAACATAAAATGTAGATGCCCCACAGGAAGTCTGAAGGTACCAAAGGATAACCGTTCTTATTTGCTTGCCTTTTTAATGTACTTCATTAAGTTCGCTCCATTTCTCCAAGGTTTAACTGAGCCCTTGCCAAATTCAAATTTCAACTTGTCCCCACTGACGTCATAACCATCTAAAGTCATATAATGAAGTGCAGATGCTAGAGCAAGGACGGCATCATAGCACTTTCCAGTGACAACCTTGAAGGAAAATCAGCACAAATCATGTTGTGTGTAATATTCCCAATAATATATAAAGAAACACAAGATTTCATGCGCCGGAGAGTATTTCTTAACGACATATCGACGAAAAAAAGTTCGATCTGATTTCTTACTTTAACAAGCCCTGAAATCCGATTATTTGTTTTAATTCACTCCCTAATTAGTAAAGAAACGGATGAGATCTAATGGAAAACAGAAACATTGCTTAGGGCTAATAAGATTGCAAGGTTCGTGTAATGAAAATCATGATTGGTCATTTCTCACATCAAGTTCACCGTATTCATGGCTTTTCCATTCCTGAGCGACCTCCTTGTATCGCGAACCCTCTCCAAATGCTAATCGTGTTCCCATGACTCCATAAAACTGATTTAATACAAAATCGCCACCAAGAGTCTGCCAGTCCTTTGGAACAGAAGTAATAGAAACAATTATGGAAACAAGGTAAACATATTATAAAAGCATGAGGGGGCCTGGACGTCGCCGCGCAGGATATGGCATTCTCGTCAAACTCGAGTTTCTGAGATGCTCTTAAGATTACATCTCCCTATTTGGGAGATTTTTTTCTTTCATTTATTTCATTATGTCTCCTGAAAAACGCACGGCAGCCCCTCCGCCAATTAGGTGGTAGACTGGGGATTTCTGTGTACTCAGTTGAGTTTATGTTCTGCAAACACTTACGAGGGAGAAAGTTATCTTACCCGTCCTGTTTGTGCATCCGTTATGATCCAGGCCCAATCAGTCGTCATCCCTAAGTCACCAGCTTGTTTTAGGATCTGTTTTGAGTTTTCATCACAATATATTTACAATGCTGTTTTATATCAACCTTATCACCACAGACGATAAATTTAATGCCACGTTGTTATTGCATTTGTATTATTGGCGCGGGAACGTCCATGAGGCACCAGTTTCTCTCTGAGCAGGAGTCACTCGTTAGTAACGAGTCATGAGTTTTTTCTGTTTCAAACGAGGTCGAGCTTCTGGCTTTAAAACATAATTTGCCTCGGTTTTAGAAACGTATTGAATCAGCTCTTGTCGCAAGTCCTACGTTTACGGAAGGTTAAGCAGAGGACATTGTGATCCACTGATAATCTTGGTTAAATTAATTTATTACAGTTCATCTATGACGATTTTCACAGTTCTTTACCAACTGTTACATGTAAATGTACAAAGGGGGTAGAGAATTACGAAAATAAAGGATAACGCAACCAGTCCTCGCTTTGTTGCATTCTTTAACGACACTGGTCTGCATTATTGTGCACAGTGTTTACCTAATAAGTAGTCTGTACAGACTTGCTTACCTGTCTTGAGTATCTCAGATAACAATTTAAAACCACTATTCTTGTGCCAGTTTGTCGGATCCATTTTAGTTGCTTTCTAACGTCAAGTGAATTAGGATCTGAGACGGGCTCAAAATGCTCATGCGCCACGACTATCCATCCCCTTTTATACGCCTCGTCCTTCAGGGCTAAGACGCCGTTAATACCTGGGAAATGATACGACGACTTTTTGATATTCATTATGAACATAAACGTTACTCTCGTTATCAATGAGCACTAACCTATGCAGAGGACCGTTGCTGAACCGATGTGTACCACACAAAACACACCGCCTACGTAGGCCAATAGAGAGGAACAAGTGTTTGCGTCTTTTAACCCTTTCACTCCCAACATCTCATTAGTAATTCCCCTTGCTGTCTGTCATTCATTACTTATGATGTTAGTTTGGAGAATTTAGCTTTGAATCACCTAGTAATTTTCTAATTAATATTTTCCTTCATTTGTCTTCGGATATTGTTAGGAGAAATTTTGTCTTGGTCTCTCATAGCAGTTCAAGGGTTTTAAAAAGCAAGAGGTATTTGATCAGAAATGATGCAATACAATCAGAAATTTTGGTTGGGTCGAGTTAAGACTTTTATGAATTAAAAGTAACTTTAAAATCAACACACCGTAGTCATCCTTAGAGACAAGTAAAGCGAACTGACTCCAGTTATAATGTTTCATAATTCCTGCCAAAGCTTGGCATTGAATAGTATCACTCGGACTCATTCGCACGAGGTAAGGGAAGTTGGCTGGCGTAGAGGTGAAAGTCGGATCTGTTGCCACTGGAGCGAATTGTGGAATGTGAAAACCAGAAAAATATGGCTGCGTATATTTCACATCTGATGACCTCATAGGACCCACTATGGCCACGACACCTTGTTGGATAAGGTATTGAGCTGGGAATACACAATTATAGCATATATCAGCAAATAGCTGCATCTGCTGTGTTGCGTTTTGTTGAGTCAGAACCACGTGAATCTATTACCTAGTTGTTTATATAGAACATAAACAGAAGCATCTAGGAGTAAAAAAAACATGACTGTAAATGTCGCTGGAACGAAATTGCAAAGTGGTGCATCATTTGAAATTTATCTCGTTGTAAAAAATTTAAAAATGGTATATAGTTAATTGCTAGGATTAAATTGAAGTCTTACCTGCTTTTAAATTATCAAAGGCATCCAGTGGTTTGGTCATATTAATAGAAGCTTCTAGCTTTATTCCGGGTAGAACGTTGGGATCTCTGTTCACATCCTCAATGGCAACAAGGAAGGATTTAATTAACCTTTCATTCTCAAATATGGCCCCTATGTTAAGTACACAGTTTTGGAGAAAATGAGAAAAATGATAACACTGAATGAAGATAGAATTAAGCTATAGTGTTTTGAAACGAAAGTGCTTGACGGGACAATATTACATCCACGCGTTGGAAAGAAGGAGACATATCGATTTAAACTTGCTGCTGTTCGATAATAATTCCTTTCTATATGCTTTAAAGATTCTGGACTCGGATAGGCCGTAAAAAATATCCAGTGCTTAAGAGAAACGCAACGAGAGTGTGCATCTGACATCATGGTAAACTTACCAACTTTTACAACTCGTGCGTTAACAGTGAGAATAGAGGTCAATACAATTAAAATAATTGCAATAAATATCAACGAACACATGTTTCTACCCTCCAAGAGAAGAATATGTGCAAATTCTCAGCGTTGATCTTTCGACAATCTTGAAATGACGTACGTGATATTTTTGCAATTTTGACAACAGAAGCCGTTTTATTCATGGCTTCCTGTTTTTGTCACAATGACCTATGGGACACTTACTAGGAGCTTAACAAAGCAAAATAAGAACTTTTATTTTCAGCACAGTGGGAAGTCCTTGAGATTATTTGCAGCAAGAGCTAAATTTGAATTTAATTGATTTACAATGATTTCTTGCTGGGAGTCAAACAGAAGCCGTAATTAAGACGTTTCAAAAATGTTTGAATTGTAAAGCGAGCAATGAAATGATAAAATTGGTATGTTATAGACTTTTGTTCTAAATGACGTGAAACAGAAGAATTAATAAAACCAAACGACAGAAACAGATGATTTAATTTTTTTGTTTTTTTTTTGTTCTTAGCCCGTTGCTTTTGTTCTGTTTGTTTTGTTATTCTTTCGAAACTAAGACCTAATGGAGATCCAGAGCTATTTTAAATGCATTTAATTTTTGAGACTTTACAGACTGTTTCTGCTAATTTTTCCCGTCGTTTTATTGGAAAAAAAATCTTGAGTGTCAGGCAACAAGTGTACTTGGTGAAATATAATTTTCCAAATATTGAAACGCAAGAAAATCAGAAGTGGTTCTTTGCAACGCTTGATCCCACTCCCCCTCCCTGAAAAACGATGGAGTGCCGCTGATACTTCCGATTAAGCTTAGTAAAACCCATTGCGGAAAGGCTTAATCCGTTTAAAATTGTCTTACTCGACACAAAGGATCTTATTCTTGTATTGCATTAGTGAATAAATTTTATTTTTTACAATTTTTTTGTTTGTTTGTTCGCTATTCGCTACAGGGTACTTTCCAGTCAATTGGGATCTCATTTACTTTTTAAAATTAGTTTTAAATTATAACACAGTATATTTATGATAATATTCTTTGAAATAGAAGTTCGATTAGCGCACACCAACTTTGCACGATATTATGCTAGGAGAAATTAAGCATTGAACAATGTCCAGCCAATTATATTCTATGATGTTCCTGTGATATTTTTTGCATGCTTTCGAATGTTCGAATGTTTGTTTCTTCGTTTGTTTATTATTTTGCGCTTACTTTTATAGCGTTATTATTGCCCAGTCAATGGTGATGACCTTCGAATTATCTCTTTTTGTATGAGATAAAGGATTCTAAGTAAGTACAGAACATGATCTGGTACGCTGCAAACTATAGTGAACCAGGGTTTAATCTGTCTGCGCCCTCGATTGAAAATAAGCATATCAGAATATCGCCCAACAAGGAAAGTACTCTCTTTTTACAAGCTAAACTAAAGAACTTCTCCTATGGCATGGCGAGGCGCGGGGTTTTATTTCTTTTCCTTTGAAGCCATTGAGTTCACCATTTTTCTTCTTTGTAATGTCGTCAATAACAAGTTCATTTGTAGAATCCATTCTTGGAGCTGAGTTGGAACAATCTCTTGTCTGAAAACAACGTGAGGCATCTTCCGGGTCAACAGAGGAAGTAATGGTGCGACCTGGTCCTTGATATGCTCGCCAGGAAGCCCATACGCGTCTTTTTAGTGCCTCAACTCGGGCCTAGTAGAGAGAAAATTTTCTTTAGCTCACCCATTCGATTCCATTGGTGATAATAGGAAGAAAATTGATAAGTAAACGTAAAGTTTCAGAGTGACATACACACGGAGTTAGGTTTATTGTAATTTCAGGAACGTCCGCGACTGATTGATTCGTTCCAGACCTCATTTATGTATCTTCAAACCGTTTCAAAATACCTGCTACATACTCAAACAAACTAAAATACACAGACCATCAAACCATTTATCGCAAAAGGTTGATCGTTATACAGAATGGAATTTAATCAAATCGAGTGTCCCTTGTTTTAAATAAAGAATTAAGCACTCCCTTGCCTAGGGAATCTCTGTAATTTAACAAACTCAGCGCTTCAAATGGCTCAAATCTCACGCGCTCAATTAAAGCTCTCAATAGTCAGGTTGTACTTGACGAAAACTCCCTAGCAAGGTTAAACCAGAAAATCAAACTGGTACCTCCTTTTGATTTTGCTTAGTATCCTTATGTGCTTCAACAAAGAGTTCCACCAGTAAGACGAGAAGACTGCAGGCCATGCCAAACAACACACAATAGAATACGCCTGATAGATCTGTGAACGTCAATACATCCCCTGATGTATTTATCGAGGAGGAGGTATCTGTGAGGAAAATTCAAAGGAGATGAAAATGAATCTGTACATATACAACTGACGGGATACTTGAATAATATAATAGAAACTGAAAAACATGAAATCATGAAATATGAATATTGCAAGAGGAAATCCGATCCTACGCATTTCTTGTGAGGGAGGGGGGGGGGGGGTGGGAAATTGGGTTTAGCGGTTTCGGCTATTTTTTTAAATCGGTTTTTTGGTGCTTGTGCCAACAAACGTCGGTTTTTCGGTTTTGGTGTGCATTGCAGTTTGCAGATTTTCAGTCCGAAGCATTTGGTTTTTGGTATTCGTAAAAAGCAGCAATAGGTTTTCGGATTTGGTATCCGATGTGGCTTTCGGTTTTGTCCTATTTGGTCTGAACGGCAACAAATTTATCGCTTTAGACGGTTTTGCTTGCAGTTTTCGGTTTTGACAGAATTGTGTGCAGTTTTGCAGTTTTAGATGATTATTTCTACGGTTTTGCGGTTTCTAATAGACCCCAATACCCCTTCCTTGTTGATGTCAATATAAACTTTTGGAAAGAGACTTAGTGCACTCACCTGCGTTTGATTCGTCATTTTGACATGTCCCAACAAGCCATTTGCTTTTCATCGTTTCCATGTATCCCTTCTGTCTGAGTTCCAACACATTGATGCTAAATTGATGTGTGAAAGGGGAGTTTTTCGCCAGGCCAAAGCCATAACCAAACTTTCCAAATACCCTGAGAAGTGTTAAAGGGAAGAAATATTGCGCTTGGCTCACATAATTATAGTCATTATAAGAGAAGGTGGAGAGAAAAGGCAAAGTGTGGATAAGTCAGAGGGCCACGATAAATTGCAGCAATCTCCGTGCTAATTAAAACCGTCAATTCTCATGAAGAAGTTGCCAAAGTTCAAATTCAAGGTTAGAAACGCAGACCTCTTAAACCTCAGCACTTCTTAAATGCGCAGCAAAGTGTTTGAGAGATACTTAAGATAACAGGAAAATAATACCCTGCATGCAAGCTGCCAATTTACTTTTTCTCTCAAACATTTTACATAATATTATACCTTCCCACCATATAAAGTGTGTTGCACGGTGGCTGATGGACGTGATATTCAAGCACTGCAGAATCAAAGATGAATGCAAAGTTCCCTCCGCGAACTCTTTTGATTCCTTCAGAGGAATTTCTAAGAATAGTTCCACTGGACTTCATGAATTCCCACATTGTGACGTAGGTAGGAATGCTCGATGTCTGGAAGTACGTTTGGGTCTGACCATTTCCGGGAATTCCGTACTCGATCTTTGTTTGGCGAGCTAAGTCCTCCACTGATTGTATTGGAGTTTGAAACCGTTGAACGATTAAGAAAGATGCAAGATTCGCCGTGTATGTAGCCCCTAAAATGGTACGTTCGAAATATAACACTAATTTTTGTCATGAAAAGTCCGGAGGATAATTGATATTCATCTTGTTAAAGGAAGTAATTGAGCATTATCTAACAGCCTAGGGCGTGTGTTCTAATTTGTCCACAGCTGCTTGGTTGGGCAGCTCTTTATGAAAATCAGTAAAAGTGTTTGTCTATTTTTTAAACAAAATATTCTGCTTTCGCCCACATGTTAGGCAAATGGTGGGCGACCCTCGCTTCAGGTGCAATTTAGGATTTCTGAACTGTGTTTGACCGACATATCTGTCTCCTGATGAGTATGATGACAATAGAGAACATAAAATGGTAGAAAGACAAGTTCTATTGGCACATCTAACATACCAATTATGAGGACTGCAAACCACCAGACTCCCACTGCCATTCTTCCAGAAAGTGACACGGGATGTAAGACATCTGGGCCTTGACTGACGTAATAAGCGAACGAAGACCAAATCGCGTTGAAAAACCGTAAGTTGTCTTTGGCTTTGATGTCATCTTTAGAAATAGACCTTGTACTTTTGGCCTGTGCTACTCGCCCGTGATACCCATATGGACTAAATGTGCTATGGACCCACAGAAATACACCAACTCCTAAGGTGGTTGAAACTATAGCCAACCACAGATTAAAATCAAACGGGCGGAGGAAAGAAAACACTTTATATTCACTATCCTCCTCTTTCCTCATAATGATCGATAGGCCGACGTCCATAAAGGGCTGAGTAAAATCTATTACTGTCTGTCTGCTCGAGCTTATCGTGAACGGACCTATGGCGAGATCAGCTTTCTGAAACAGAGCCCAAAGGAAGGACATTGAACTCCAATATTCTATATAGAAGTATGATTTACATTGTTACTCCACTTTTCAACCGTATTTTTTCCCCCTGTTTTATAGTACCATATAGTACCATCGAATACTCTGCGCGTTCCATTCCCGTGAAATTTTTAGATAATAGTATAAATTTGGCACAAGTTGCAAATGAAATTGTAATACGTACAGCAAAACTGTCCCAAATGCCAAACTTACGTTGTCAATGAGCTGCCGAACCATTCCACTCCACTCCCCAGTAAATATATCGGGTGCACCGTATACATTATTAGGTGATTCTTCTATTGTATATCTGAACTTCATCTTTTCCTTTAGTTTATCTAGTAAGTCGATGCACAAACCCGTATACGTTTTTTCTCCAGTGCTGGATTTCTTTACCAATACAAATGGCTTCTCCTAAAATTGCAAAATGTGAAAGCAACAAACACACACAATAACACATACTTAGAGGCGATATTATCCTATTTGAACAATCTATTTTATCTATTAAGCATATGTACACGATTTACACAACCCTCCACTCAAGTCAAAATAACGACATCGCCGGACGTTCAGTGTCAATGGTAAGAAGTGATAAGTAATATTGCTACCTCTTCCAGAATATAGTTTTTTTTTCTCTTTGGTTACTCCTACCATCATCTTCATATAATATTTCTCGATGGAGAGAGCTATACGAGAGCATCTTTCTGAAGAACAGCTCAAACTGATCCGAGACTGGAGTGTCAACTTGACCTTTCAATTTTGCGCCTTGCGCACTCCTTTTCGGTTCCTACTATTTCTCATCTACACATACATGGGCAAAATGATAACGATAAAAAAAAGACACCCTTCTACTTAGCTCTATCGGTATTTGCAAGCCATTTCGGTTATCTATACATTATAACCTTGGCTCGGCTTACTATTATACAAAAAAAAATTAAAGACACCAGGTCCATTGTCCATTACTTACGATGACGGTAACAACCCTAATGGTTGTGTTCTCTACTACAGTTGAAGTGTCCGTGGGGACATTAATAGAACCAGAAAGCCAGATCACGGGCTGTCGAGGATCCATTACGATTCCATTTCTTGAATTCCAGTGACCAACCTGTATTTAAAAGGATAGCACTCGAATACGAATAAGAGCAAGAACATGGAATAAGTGTAGTTGTTGAACTCTACTGACGAGCATGGGACAAAGAAGTATTTGTGCTCGAAAGAATTTGAACCTCAGATCTTACTGGATTTTGTGATTGTTAGAGGTAGTACTAAAACTGAACTAAACCAATACTTTTCGGCATTACGGGTGTCTCGACTGAATTTATCAGTGATCAATACGTTTTGGAAATAAATAAATACTCCGATCAAAACTGACTTTGAAAGTCACGTCATGTAAGCGAGAGCTTCTATGACTAGCGGTGGGCTTAACCCTAAGTATAAATAAGGGTTTGTCAAAAAGCGAGCTGCGAGGTTCCACTTCAGATAATTCACTTTAACAGCGAATCTGTCTTGATCCAGTGGGAATTAATTCACATTAGGTAAGTATATAGAAAAAGATGTAGTTCGTCTTGTCACGAGCGTGGGACAGATAAAAAATTCGAGTCTCCATGAGGAATCGAACCTCAGACCTCCGGATTCGCGCTTCGATGCCCTACCACTGAGCGAGGTTTATTACGAAGTTCATACGACACGCTTCCTGCATACTGCTAGGATCAGCAATGTCGATAGCGTCATTTTTGTAAATAGAATGAGGGAGATGGTAAGTTTTGAATCCAAAGGTCTGAGGTTCCATTATTCACGGGGACGCATAGTTTTCTTCTTTTTCCCACACTGGAGACAAGACGAAAAATCATCTTTCTCCTTCTCTTTACAAAGCTCAAAACTTACCATCTCACTTATTCTATTTACAAACATAGGCAAATAAATTTTGAATTAATAGGGGGTTTCATTCCTTTTTAACCGTGTGTAACTAAAATGGAAAAGAAATATAATAAGCAACCTGAATAAAACCAGTCCTTCCTAGGTTGACGATATCATATTCTGCATACGCGGGTGAGCCGTTCTCTTCAAATGCCAAGGATGTCATTAAACCATCAGTGGAAACCTTCATGTAGAACAATAAAAAAGTATGTCATACAACGGATAATGACGTTTCGTAACATCGAAAGTAATTGGATTCGATGATAAATCGCACTTACATTTTTAATATAGTCCATTAGTCTTTGACCTGGGGGCCATGGCCGGGTTGAGACTTCTCCTTCGAAATCGAATTCAAGCGAGACCTCTTTCACTTCAAATCCGTCTTTGATCATTTTATTCAAAGCCGCCCCTATCACAAGTGCTGAGTCGTAGCTCTTTCCTCCTGGTATCTATTAAAAAGAAGAAAACATCGATATACTAAACACTTGTGACTAACTCTTCTCGATACCTGCGACTTAGTCTGATCACAGTTGGTCAATGTTGATTAAAAATCATCTTAACTAGGATAAAGCAATACCTCTCCTTACAGTGCTCTCTAAAACTTATAGCTATATTTGTGTCAAAGGACATTGAGAAAGGGCTTACACTGACTCCACTGCGGCGTTCCGATTTCCACACGCGAGAAAACTCTGTGTACAATTTACCAGAACCAGATGAGGGCCTGGTTCCTATAACACCATAAAATTCATGGAGTGGATAGTCGCCAGGGATTAAGCTCCAGTCCTTAGAAGAAAGAGAATTACACACTTTCAGTAAAACCAGAAAGTTTTTTAACCAGTTCGAAAATATTTTTGTAGTCAAAATTTGCACTAATTATGCCTGAGTTGTCTAGCTCCTTCCTTTTCTCCATTCCAGTGTCAACGATAATATCGTCTCCACTCCTTGACCTTATTCATTGTCTACCCATGACCAAAATATCATTCAAAAGCTCTTTACCAATTGCAATCAATTATAATATGCAAGACCACCCCACAAAAGCTAACGAATGTCGCGGGGAAGGTTGCATAACACCGGGTAACTGAGAGAGGAGGAAATGGTACTATGCCACTACAAAAATGCACCTTAAATGGATAATAACATCACGACGTTTAAGTTTCATACACATAGAGGCTCTTTCGGATGGACTTACTGTATTAGTTGAGCCATCAGTAACGATCCATACCCAATCTTTGAGCATTCCGATATTAAAAGCTTGTGTAAGTACAACAACTGTGTAACGTGCCATTGTATTCAAGACAACAATCCGGGTGTGCGTTTTTCTTATCGCCTCGAGCTGTGGACTCACATCCAGGGAAGCATAGTCACTGATAGGATCAAAATGTTCGTTTGCAGAGATTTTCCAACCTTTTTGATTTGCGATATCCTTTAGGGCTAAGAGACCATTAATACCTAAAGATATAGACAATATGAGATTATTTCACTATTCCATCTTTGAGATTTGGATCCTGATTTGAACATTGTACAGAATTGAGGTGAGTTAGTTTATCATTTAATATACTACCAAGATAACTCAGTTAATATGTTCACATATTAAAAAAATAAAAGTTATCGTTCAGGCAAGAGTGGAATAAGCTTCAAGCGAATTGATTTATCACTGGCATTTTATACTTTAGGTGTATTCAATATGTCGTACCAGGATTTCAGTTGAACGAAAAAAATCATAATCATGAATAAAAATCAAATAATGGTGCAACGGATAATAGAAAAAAATAAAAAGAAAAAATAGAAAGAGAATGGACAAAGAATAAAGCAAACAAGCAATAACCAAACGTCAATTAAAAAGAAAAAACAAAAAAAAAACAAAATAAAAACAAAAACAAAAACAAAAAATCTACAAACCGTAATCATCCTTTGATGTCAACAGAGATATTTGAGACCAGTTATAATATGAAATTAGGCCTGCCAAGGCCTGGCACTGAATCGTATCGCTCGGACTGAGGCGAACAAGGAATGGAAAGTTTGCTGATGTAAATGAAAATGTTGGGTCAGTCGCCACTGGTGCAAGCTGTGGAATGTGAAAACCAGCGCAGTAAGGCTGTGTAAATTTTACCCCAGTAGACGTCATTGGTCCAACTATGGCAACCACTCCTTTCTTGATGAGATATTGCACTGTTGTATTTTAAAAAAAAAGATAAAATAAAAGAATAAAAACCATAACTGAGAATGACTTGTGCTTCCTGATCAAAAGCTGGAACAGAACTGCGATTTTAGCCTCTAAATCAACATGACCTGATTTCCCTTACAACTTTTGTATGGCTTAGTAAGCCAGCATGTACGGTTCCTTTTTTTTCTTCCGTTTTCATTTTCTTTTGCGTTCAACTTTAAAATATTGTGAGCTCCTTTCATCTCCCGCCATAGAACCTGGTATAACAAAAGGTCGAACTGTAATCAACACCATCATAAAAGAATAAATCACGGAAGTTACCAAACAGTTCCTTTTTAAAGATAACTAACAACTATCTTTAAAACTTCTCCCACAACAGTCCTCAAAATATTAAATGAACGAAAATGCAAATCTGCAAGCTAAGGGATATTGCAAAACACAGGGGGTAAAATTGGAACAGTCTATCGCTACTTAAAAAAAGTGACGATGCAAACAGAGCTTCGACCGAATCGGTCACGAAAAAAAATAAACGCATGCCCAAACTACATTTACAAAATGCTTGTGACCTTTAATAATAAGGATTAAACAACTTGTATTATCAGTAGTTTATCATATTTGATTTTTGACCTTCATTTCCACATGTTAAAGGGTTGTTTACTAGCAGCATGGTCTCATCTTATTTAATATGACTGCCAGGTGAAACAGCAAAAAGACATCATCCTTAGCAAACTTGATGCTAGGATTACGAAAATTGATGCTGACTTTCACACGAAGTTCCCGCATCGCGATTTATAACTTACCCATCTCGATGTTTTTGAAAGCATTCAGTGTTGCTGTCTTGTTGACAATTACTCTGAGCTTCGTACTTGGTAATATTGAGTTGTTACTGTTTATTGTGTCGATAGCGAGTCTAAAGGCGTCCTCATAGTCGACTCGAGGGCTATCGGAAAACACAGCACCTGTTGAAACAAATAAAAGAAGTTCAGTTTTGCGAAGAAAGAAATTTTCCTCATATTTACTCTAAAAACACATAAAATTCATCACTAGCCTATTGTAAGGAATTCTGGTGGCGCGACAGCGGCAGATCCGCTAACGGGAATGTTCTGAAAGTAAGCAACCATTATAAACATAATCAAATCTAGAAATAGTGTTCTAAGCATTGCTGGCCGATGTCTGGGTCGTTTGGAAGACCAGATTGTCTAGAAATCAAAGGTTTCCTTCAAGCAACTTTTGTGGCATTGAATAGATGTTACAAAGAAGTTAATTGCAAGTCGATAAGCGTCGATGGCATGCGTGGTTGGTTATAACGTTCAAAGCCAATAACCCCATCAATACAACATTTGCATGACCTCCTACTGCATTGTTTTGCAATTAATATCGCCAGCTTAAAGAGTCACAGCTGGATTTCAACTTTTTAGGTTTACTTTTCGTATTGTAATGCTAATTCACAGGATGACTGCTATATTGAAAAACACTAATAGCTGTTCCCATCTAGCTAAATTACTCTGGGAAGTGTCTTCAACATTTTTTTTCCACCGATTTGACGGCACGGCTTTGAAAAACATCATTCCGTTCCATCGTTTCAAAGATGCTTTCTCGTAAAAAATACACGTGATTTGCTAACATGTCGAATGATCGCTTACCAAATAATTAGAACATTAAATAAAAATAAAGTAGGTAAATTTCCGCAGTAAAATTGGCTACGCTATGTTATAGCTCAACATAAATTCTTATTGTCTGACGGAAACGGTAATGGAGGCAAACGATTGGACTGGCGGCCAGCTCGACCTCGTGAACTTTGAAGCGAATTTTTTCTTTGTTTTCAGAACTCTCAACTGTTAGCTTTATTAAATTTTCCTTTCTTAAACCGCCGTGTACTGAGTGCGGTTTTCGCTGGTCCAATAAGCTTTTCCCTTCATTTTCATTTAAAATCCATAAGAAAAAACTCCCAGCATGAACATATTAAACTGAATTTTTGTTTTAAAGTTGGCCTATGGACAGTGTGGTGCATACTGCATTTCCTACATAAAATTGCCAAAATGAGAGCGAAGAAACACTAGAGTCCTTGCCGTTTCTAATGATTTAATTTCTCTATTTTTCAGCAAACGAACTACAACTTATACTTGACCTGATCATTTCAGCAGTTAACCATCTCCAGTCCATAGATTAGGTCATTCCCATTTCCAGTCTTTCTACATCTGCCTGTGATTTCTTTCATGATCATAATTTTATCATACATAATTTTTTGTGGCGACAGGTTCCCTGAATGTATGGCAGTCTTAGAATACTAGTTCGACAGGATAAAACATTCCGGAGAGAAATAAATAGAAAATCTGTGATTGAGGATGGATGATATTTGCAGTGCAACATGCGTGTAAAGGTCAGAAAAAAGGCCAGAATTGAGGATAATCGTTGAATCTTCTAGCACATCTTAATTAATTTTCTACTTTCCTTTTTTTTTGTGGGTCTTGTATTTATGTTTTATCCACATCGATCCCGGCAGCCATTAATGACTCTTGGCCAATATTACAATGTTTGTTTGAAAGTTTGCTAAGCACTATAGGGAGCCTCATTATTTAATTTTTTTCATTTATTTCCTGTGAAATTTTCAAAGTCTTCCTGGTTGCAAGTAATTTCAATCTGAAACAAAATAAGAAAATTACTGTATTTCAAGATTCCGACATGATTAAAAATACTTCATTGAAATCTTAATAATAGCTTATACATTATTCATTATCCTATTGATCGCGGCGCTTGCAAATGGAAAATATCAGCAAGATGACAAAAAGAATGAAAAAAAAAAAAAAAAAAAAAAAAAAAAAAAAAACCAGCCATAGTTCCCGGGCTGGGGTAAGTTCATTGGTTAGAACTTAATTAAAAACAACAAATAATATATAGATCTAGCCAAGCCTAAAAGCGGAGCTCGCATTTTTTTTCTCCCGCACGTCTCAAGGGCACAAGTCCTGGCCTTGCCTCGGCCAGGACAAGAACCTGAGTCGTCCGACTCGGAGACCAGTGCACTGACCACTGGACTACTGAACAAAGCCGTGGCGTTGGCGTGCCCGCGGTACAGTTGACCACGCAAGTGGAATTTTTCGGCTTGATGGGTTACCACTATTTTGTATAATCATGGGGCTACGCACTGCGAGCTCCGCTATTATAGGATTTCATGAACTCTATGCCTTTGGCCATATTTCAACTCTTTCATTTGCATCTCTCATATTCAGAGTTCAGTTTAGTTAACATATCTCTGATGTTCAGTCGAATCAATTCTGTTTAATTAGCGCAACATTATCATCCTGAGGAAAAAAATTTAGATATATATTTATTTTAAAACCGTTATGAAATTGCCACTCGATCAGGTTGATGAATGAACGGAAAAGCCTTCAACATTCTCGACCCATGGTTGCTTGTCGGAATTTTGTCAGATTACGGTTGCTAAAAGGCTGAAAAATCCGTTTCGCTTACAGACAGTAAAGTTCAGAGAGTAACGTTCAAACTTTCCTAGAAGGAGAAGAAAACCAAAAAACCAGTGGCTTTGGTAATGGCTTTTATTTTTATTCGTGAATAAATTAGACTTTTATTGTTATTGAAGGGCTATTGCGTTTATATAATAAACTGAATAATACATGTTGCTTTTAGATGTGAGATTTCTCTTCTCGCGTTCAACTCCACATCTCACTTGTTCGCTTTCTCACTTGTGAGCTATCGAGTTGACCATTCGAAGAGAAATTTCACATTTATTCTCTATTTAATAACCAGATGCTCGCGCCTTGCTTCGCGGGAGATTTGAGACGCAACAAAAAAAAGTGCTGCCTTTCAAGATTTCAATACAAATAATCAAGCTCATTTAAATCTGAATAAAAGTTTTTACATTATTGATTATGGTAATATACTTCGAAGAAATATCGATGCTCGGGCCTTGCCTCGCGAATGGAAATCGGAAACAGCCTGGTCTATCTCTAGGATATAACAGATATTTTCCAACTTCATCGAAAAGAAAGACTAGATGAGGTGCTTTTTAATGCCAGAAGGTTTGTAATTTGATGTCAAGTTTAGAACCAGTATATATGCTTCTCCTTAATTCGAGACAATCTTTTTGCCCAAGTTCATGAAATCACTTCATATCGTCATGGTGATAAATGTTCAACTATCCAAGCTTAGAGCTTTAGTAGAAAATTGATTTCCATATCTTAATTTAACCAACGTCCACTTTTAACCATTACTCAGATTAGGAAAGAAGGAAAAATCTTAGAGTTGTTTTACTCTACGACTTCAGGGGGCCGAATTATGGAGGTCCTATTGGATATGTGTGGATTAAACTTCGATAAGTTAGAAAAATAACGTGGAAACAGGTAAAACTATAGAGGAATTATTGAATAAGCATCTATTGATTTATTCATCCTTAATTGCAAAATGTAGAGCCTAGTATAATATCATGACAGGTGCATATGACGCCATCTAGAAAAAATTTGGTCCGGATATGTTCAAGTTTCTTAGTTGACATCTCTTGGGAAAACATCATTTTCGCCTGCAAGATTTTATCTCAGGTTTTATAAAAACTTATTCGGCCATATGATCCATTTCTAGGAAATTTGATAAAGTGATGCAGCTCTATTTTTCGATTCTGGTGATTATATGCTCCTCACAGCTTCACAACGTTGTCGGAAAATGTCGACCTTCGACTTACTCAATAAACAGCCACTACTTAGCTGGTCACGTGATGTCCACAAGGATTGTCTCCAGTCTTTCTGAGTGTGTGATAATATGTGTAACTGATGTCCACTGTAAAAGTTTGAACTTCCATTCCATCGATGGGTTATGTGACTTGAATGACGCAGACAGACGTACCCTCTCAAAAGATTTTCGACCGAAAATAGGATGCATCTACATGGAAATTTTTCCTTCATTTAAGGTCTGTTATTGAAATATATTTCCAGTATTAAAACGCGAGATTCAGAATGACTTACTACGAATGATGATAAATTTTATTTCCACGTTATATAAGCGAACAAACCAGAAATTTATCGTTATTTTGTTCCATTCGAGAACCAGGCTTATATTCTACCATTTGTCTTGTTCGGTTGAAGTCCTGTGCAGAAATACAACAGGCGCAGCCTCAGGCAGAGAATGGATATTACTGGATACAGATTGGGAGCAGAGAAGCTCAGGTTTATTGTGATATGACGAACTATGGTAAGTTAGAAAAAAAAATGAACATTGGAAAAGTTTCAAAAAGAGTCAAATTATCTTATTCGATCGTTGTTTTTTATTTCCTGAGTTACCTTCAGGTTTGATCACTTTGTGCAGATTAGTTGAAGAAATTTAACCAATTTGAAACAAATTAATCTGTTCAATCGAAGTAAAAAGAGAGAATGTTTCAAACTTTCGACTCACCTCCTTTGCCAGTTTGTTAGATAATAACCCAGGCAAGATCTAACGTGTTGCAGCTTTAAGCTCGAATCTAACGGTACACTCAATTTCCTCCTTTGTACGTAAGGAAGATCTTGCACACAATGACTAAATGAATAATTTAGGTGTTTTTTATCAGGCAGTTAGTCCATTAAGATTTTCTATTATAATGTTTTGCAAGCCCGGTTTTCTAAGCTTAGCCAGTTTTCTCTACCGGCTATGCTTTTCGTGAAATTGTTATCCATTTCTAAAATGCATGAAATAGGTGGCGGTTGGACTTTGGCAGTGACCATCAACTCCGCGAAAAACGATCATCTTCAGAGCGCTGAAATGAATTGTCTCAACTCAAAGCTGTGTGTTCCGTTTACTGAGAACGACATCGCAGCCCGAAAGCTAACGGACAAAGACATACACGAGCTGCTACATTTTGAAGGTTAAGCTATAAAATGTTACAAGGTTAAGGAAAATATTTAAAATATGTATCAAAATTTCACGATTCGCCGGCACGCCGCATTAAAAAAACACGTGCCACAGTACCTTGGATCTTTGCTCGGGCCATAAGTGAGCCTGTTAATAAATTAAGTTCAGAAAAGTACTGACATGCGCTGTTTTTCCCATGAGTTATTTAGATTTATTATACAAACTACGGTTTTACACAAGGAATTCCAGCCCTAAGAAAAACCGTAACAACACTGTTGAAAAAAATACGATATTTTTTCACTTGTGTTTTATAACGCCAATAGGCTGCTGAACGTCACTCGCCTTTCGTGCTGGTCAGGTTGACGAATGAACGGCGAAGTCTTCACCGTTCTCAATCCAAGGTCG